TGGTTATATCAATGTTTATCAGTTCGCCCGCTCCCAGCATTGCAATGAACCAATCAATGTCACAAATTAACAAATTATCTGCTCATTTATAGGAATTCATTATAAAGATCACTTCCAGAAAGTTCACTATTATTAATCAACCCCTCCAACATGTAACATGTCTATTAGATTGCTTTTAAAATCTTAGTCATCGACCAAAGATTTTTGTGCGCTGAACAACAGGGAAATTGGGAGACAACTTTGAGGAACTTTGCGATTTAGATCATCCTCCCTGAATTCTTTTACTAACATGTTATTAATTAAACAGACTGTGTAATGTACTGTTGCTATGAATAAGATGATTTGTAAACCAATGCACACTGCTTTAAGGTAACGCCGCATCCGCAAAAGATAATTTTTATATTACGAAAGACGATTAAATCGATCAGCAACCTGGAACCAATAACAGCACGTGCAAACATCTGTGGAGTCATTGTCTTAAGAACTGAGATTACTGGTTTGGCAAATTTTTTTTATTTCTTTATTTTTTTTATCAGCAGTTGCCTAGTTAGTAATGTGTTTACAACATTGCACTTGAGATTGACGCGCTTACTCTCTTCAACTGATCTTAAAGCGCAGTTTAGCCTGCGATCAAGCTGTTCAGAGGCAGCTAAGGATTCCCACGTGCACCCCTCGAGAGAGCTTGCTCGCAAATGCGCATGCTATATGGAGAATCTGAGAATCGAGCCTTAGAGAGATATTTTTGATTCGTCCTAAAAACTTTTTATACAACAGCTTTAAATAGACCGGCCATTCATTTTTGTCTCAATCGATACATGTCTAAAAACACTTTCAAAACCTTGCATCTTACATAGCTTTGCTAGATATTTGGAAATTGATTATTCACAATACAGAGTCGTCGAAATTTTGCATTTTCAATGCTAGCTTTTCAGTTTTGGCTCGCGTAAAAAAAAATACAGCTGGGAAGCAATTCCAATTTTCTTCGAAATGTTAAGATAGAGTTGCTAAGTGCTGAAATTGAAACAGTAAGACCAGTTTTGAAACAAAGCTCAGAATGAACGTCAACTGTGGCGTCTACTTGCCGGCTTTGACTAGGTACGACATCGGAAAGTTAGTAAAATGAGCCGCCGCTTCTATATGTATACTATATTAGGTAATCACATGATTTCGAGTGCAATATGGAATAAATAAGCACGAGTAAATTTTTTCAAAGACTAACAAAACTGCACGACCCCGTGGGGCGAGTGCAATTTGTGGTCTTTGAAAAAATTTACAAGTGCTTATTTATCCCAAATTGCACGAGAAAAATCATGTGAAGCAAACCGTGCACATCAAGTGCAAAAATAATTAATTCAAACCCTGTGAATATTGTGCGTTCGGTCAAAACAATCGCATACGATCAAAACAACAATATACAATGATATTTTCACATCTTTAAGGCGCAAAAAAGTTCAAAGTCCGGCTAAACAGTTCAAGGAATTGTTCTGTGTTCGAATCACTTTCGATGAAATGGAATTTTCGTTTCCGAGGTTTAACCATGTTTGTTTCTAATTTCGGGGTAGAATCGCTCGAGCCAAAGTGTTAAGCGGGGTCGGCTTGTAATTTTCGATTTCCTCGGCAATTCCCTCGAGCTCCTCTAAACACCACTTTTTCCAAACCGACAACCAAAAAGCAGTACTTTTTACAGTGTTTTCGTTGTTAGAGCTGTTTTTCAGCTGCTGAATTGTTGTTTCGGTGGCGAAAGAAAAACATACTTAAAACGTCAGCCATTGTTTCGCTCGCAGATTTTAGGCGTGTTCAAACGTTGCAACATCCAAGGCTCACATTTGATTGGCTTTCTGAGAGTTTCTTTGATTATTGACCAATTAGAATGTCTGGTTTGTTACTTTTTTTGCACTGAATTAACCCTCAACTGCATTGAACCACCTGACAACTGTATTTATCTTAACCAATCTGAAGTGAGTTATTTTTTCTTGTGTATATATTTAGCAAAATTTAGCCTAACTGTTGCAACAAGATTAATTGCTATGCTGATTAGTTTTCTTCATCCTCAGCCATTACGTTTCTTGTAAGACTCTCTTGTACTCATTTCATGGTTACTTATCACCGAGGCCAAGCAAATTGAAAGCCCTTTTCTTGTTTGAAACAATTTTCTATACAACTTTATATAATAAGCTCAGTTATGCAAGGCATTTTGGCTGGTTCTCATTTATGATCTTTTGGAGGACAGACGTATAGATGACGTCATCATTAAAACTTTTTTAATTCTTTATTATATAAAACAAATAGATTCCAAGTTGCCGTGCTTGTGCTCAGTAATAGATCACAGATGACGTCAAAATGTGGTAAAAACATCGGTGACATACTCGGCTGCGCCTCGTGTGCCACTTTTTTGTTCTTACCACATTTTGACGTCATCTGTGATCTATTACTGAACACACGCACGGCAACTTGGAATCTATTTGTTAAATACGAAATGACCAAAACATGCCAAATGTTTCGCCCCTTTACTTGTTCATACGTATTAGTGTGGACCTGAAACAGTTGTTGCGCAGTTTCTTGCATCAAGCGATTATGAAGTTGTCTTATTTGGACCGAATCAACAATTATGTTGTTATATGTGTTCCCACTCTGCTATCCTTCTGTAATAGTTTTCAAACCAAATACCATCATATCTAATTAACTACTTACTTCGAGCTCGTATACGGCTAAAGGCGGTATCCGTTTCTCAAACCGTTGCAATCAACGACATTGTCAGACCGCTGTTACTTTAATTGCTCTGTTTCACCTTCTTGTAAACACTTTCATGGATCGATCTCTTTCACATTGCTTCATTGTGATCTTCGAAACGGATCTGTATGCATCTTAACCACATACTGTTTAACGCTTGACGTGTCTTTTTCATTTCCCAGAACAAGCAGCTCTGTAATTTAGGTACAGGTACAATAACGATCCTTAAGATATATCCTGACAGGGCTAGCTTGAGATGCATGGATTCAATGCTTTGGGTCAACATAGTAAACGTTATTCTTATACCCTCGGGTAATTAAAACAGTAGCTTGGCGCGGTCTTTTTGGTGCCTTTTGTGCATGTAATCTTAGAGGTCAATTCAAAAGAACCAGCGGTGAAAATAATTCCCTTACTTCTTCTTATATCACTGTTATTCTTGGCCATCATTTCTACTCACACTGCATAGTGGCAGTGTGGAACGAAGCCACTCTATATTTGTCATAAACATTTCTGTGCACCGGTGTGAATTTGTTAATAGGTAATTAGGGACCTTAAGCAAACCACGACGGGGACGGCACTGAGGACATAGAAAAAGATCTAATTGGCAGAACAATAGCTCAGCACATGCGTTCTAAAACTTTGTCTATTTCTTAGCCGTCCTATGCAAAACAACAACGTGAAATCACCACAATTTGAGTTGTCTGCGAACCGAAACCGCGGCAGCAAATAATTTTAATTTCCATTTGGAACTCAACGCTTCTTTTATACGTTATGCTGAAGTTGAGGTGTGGCGCCGTATGAGATGGTATGATTGGTTCCTTGGGGTTGCCGTCCTGACTGCTTAAGGTTCCCATTTAAGAAACGACGGCGACGCCGTGGACAACGTCAGTTAAAAAAATTAACTTATCAGTTCACTTACGAATCTCGCAATACTCTAAAGTCATTAAGTTTGTTTCTCACTGCTAAAACTATCTCGAAACTCAATATGCAACACAGTGTTAAATTAGATATAGAAATTTAAAAAATTAGCCGTCGTCGTTCACGTTCTCCAGACAATACAAAGTTTGGTCCTTTCACGTTGTTGTTTTTGCATAAGATGCTGAGAAATTTAAAAAGATTTATAATGCACATGCACTGCCAGTGTTCTTCTCATTAAACTTTTTGTTTAGTGACGTTCCCGTTGCCATTGCCGTCGTGGTTTTCTTAAACTCCCGAATAACTGTCAGTCAAGCTTTTTTTTTCTGACGTGGATGAAAAAATTCTTTTCAGACCAAAATGGCTGAAGAAGCGTACCCTTTAGGACCATACATATCTATGTAACTTGTATCGGAAAGTATTCCCCACCTGATTTTACCTTCGACAACTTGTACCAGATCTCTCAGCATAGGACAAGTTATTGCAATATTGGACTAGAACTAACAGCTCGCTCTGAAATAGTTCTAGTCTGTGAAAAGTCACCCCCACCTTAAAGTTCTTTCACTTTAACTGCGCCGCGAAAAACAAAGGCTTAAAACGGAACAGCCAGTTAGTTCAACTTCAATTTAAGCAGGAATTTTGATAATGTAACAATGAAAAAAAAGCTTCGCCGTTGTTTTAAGCGTTTTCTCCAAGCCAAAGACCTTTAACAAATTTTAAAAAACCTGGGAATTCGCCCCTTTGGCGCCATAAGGTGTTTCAGTTTCCAACGGGCATACAGGCAAGTATGCGTAGATTTTTGACCAATCAAAGCGTGAGTTGTGTCTATGTTATGTCATAAAGCGGCACCATACATTACCACGGATTATCTAGAGGAAAGAAAAAAAAAGAAGAAGAACAGGAAGTCGCATCGTACAATTCAAAATATCTTACCATGTTAACAAATCTTAAAGAGATGATTTATTTTTTCCTGGGTACCAGCAAAACAGATTCATTTTTCTCGCGTACATCACCTGTTCTTATCAATTGAGGAAACGGCTCGCTTATAATTCTGTTCGGGTGGGTTAGTCAATATGTGGTACAGCTATTGTCACGAAGGCAGCCAGCGCGTGAAAATTAGCTTTTTTATGACGTAACAATACCTAGGTCTCGCGTAATTTGTAATCATAATTCTTTGGATGTGACTTGAAAGCAATATTTTGCATTTTCATCGTGAGCAAATTTAAGCCTATGCGCACATGAATGTTTCTATCCGCCATCAACATCCGGCAGGGGTTCTCTTTACACGTGATCAACGAACGCGCATTGGTGGAAATTTTGATGAACTTTGGCCGCGAAACCAGACACATTGCTGGATCACATGTAAACATGGCGCCTGTGTTTAGGAGATAATTTATCGTTTGATTTTCACAATCTTTTTAATTCTTTGCTGGGAACGATCCTCACAATCTAGCTGAGAAAAGGAATGGCAGCAACAGGGCCGTATATAATCTACAAATCTTCCCAGTTCTGCGCTGCAGTTCGTTGCAATGTTGGCTTCGATCATCCACTTCGCAAGCGAATTCGTGAAGTCGAGTTCCCTTTTCCGAAAGGTGCAGACACACTGCCTCTTCGGCTTAATTTGGAAAGTTTGACTACCGCAGTTAGTGAAATCTGCCAGCAAATGAGAGAAAGAAGAGAAAAATACTTGCTGCAGAGACAGAGTATAAGGCAACGAAGAAAAGGTTTTTGCGAAGATTTTCATCCAGAGGAGACAGAAGGCAATCTGAGTTACGAAAATCAGTTGGTAAACCGGGACATTCGCCTTCTTGGTGCTGGTGGATTTTTGTGGGATAAGGAGCGAGTTACAGACTATGAACTGTTCAGGTTAGATATGTCTGTAATCAATAATTCCTAAATCGATCAAATTAGTTTTCTTGTAGTGAAAATATATATTCAAAATGTTTCACAAGCAATCGTCGAGTAGGTTTCCATCAGATTCTGGTTTTCGTAGGGGATCTGTTGCGCTACAAGTCTCATCTCCTTTAACTCCCATTTTCATCCAAACCCATGAATTTACACCAGATCAGTTTTACAGAGTTTGACGTTTGAAACACGAGAGTCAGTAAATTGCAAGAGCTGTACAAGAAAGTGAAATGTTGAACGTCGGAGACTTAGGTTTTTTCTGGTATTACATAAGCTGTTATTATTTCTTTGGGGTGCTCATTCCGTTTAAGGTGATTTCTTTCGTATGTCTGCCTGGTACATTTTTGAGATTTGGTTCATGCTCAACTGTTTTATTCGTGGTATTCTAGACTTTAGGGGGCATAAAACAGCTTTAAGGAGTTGCTTGGGCACAGCAGAGAACAACCTCTACGAGCGAAGATTATGATTGAATTTAGACAAGGAACTGAAGCAATAGATGATACATTACTTTATAAAATAATTCAAATAGTATGCACGCTCTGATTGGCCATAAAACCATTTTACATGAGCGTATGTAAACACGGTTTTCTTTCCTCTTTCATTAGTTATTTTATAAAAGAAATGTAAAATGGTTTCCATGTTTACATAGCCTGATGTAAACACTTGGGAGGTTGGGAGAACACTCGATAAGCTGGAAACCACTCCACTTCGTGTTGTGGTTTCCTACACTTATCTCGTGTTCTCCCAACCTCCCGTGTGTTTGCATCAGGCTATGTAAACATGGAAACCATTTTACATTTCTTCAATATAAAACCATCATAAATAAGCTTAAAGTCCAAAACACTTGACTGATAGAGCCATACAGAATGTTACTTGACCATTAATATTATATGCTAAGTTTTCAGGCTGCTGTCTATCCAAATGCCCATTACCTCCCTCCATCCCCCTTTCTTTCCAGTAGTCATCAGCTAAGCCTTCTTCCCTGAAACCCTTAAAGGCTACCAAACTGTTTTCTTCTTCCCTTGTATCATGCTTGTTTACTATTAAGATTTATTTAAAACTTTAACTCCCATGAGTGACCAAGACAGAATTTCCCCTTGCAATATCTATATGATATCAAGCAGACAAGTGATGAGAATAAAGCAAAATATCAATTAGGGACTTATAATCCAATACCAAATTATTTGAACTAACCTTATAAGAATTGTATAGCATACAAGAAGGATAATTACTAATGAGATCCTGGGGGTGAAGAGGATAATGTACTTAAAACCTAGTTGAAAGCATATTGTGGTACTGGTATTTTGTTAATATATATTTCAACATACATGTACAATACATAGGATTTTTCCAAGTTCAGAGGGATAACATAAAATAAGAGCAAAAATTAAGAGAAAAGAGAGCTAAGTGCCCATGTGCAATTTATTCTAATCCATCAAATTGGGGATTACTAATTCTGCTACTAAAATAAATGTTGATTGTTGTGTTTTTTCCTTTTTGTTGAGTGTTGTGATATCTGATCTGTTGTAAACTGGTCACACTTCTTGTAGGTCACTGGTATATTTCACTCTCACTTTTCATGTATTCTATATTGAGGATATACATTGTACATATAGGATAAAGGTGTGAATATGATTGTGGAACAGTAATTGAATATTTATCCGCAGATTATGAAACAAGCATATTCCGGAGAGTGGCTAAGTTTATGTATGACTAAGATTTTACTTTGCTTGTTCTTTAGGTGCAAAAAAGAAAACTCTAGGAAAAGGAAAAGTGACAAAATAAACAGTGACAAAGAGGAATGGGAACACTTTATCAACCAACATCAGTTAGAAGTGTGGAGAAGGCCTATTGATACTACTGGGCTTTATGAATACAAAGGTAAGAACTGTAACCAGACATATAAATGTAAATTACTTACTATTCCTCTTGTCTGAATTAAGGAACTATTTTCACCAAGAAATTGGCGACAATCGATATAAATGTACATGAATGTTCTAAGGGAAGTTCATGAAATACAGGCTGTGCTGCTTGTATGGGGTACATGAAAATTTTATAATTAGTTCTTTTGTGGGCTTGGGTACTTCAGGTGATCCTATGAATCTTTCTATGTATCTCATGGGTATCAAAGGTGCACATTTCAATTTCAAACACAAAAATGTGTTTACTTAATGCACTGTATATACTATAAAGTCAGTTTTTTGCAAGTTTGGGTTTTACCTGTTCATGGTTTGAGTATGCTCTTCAAGAGCTGGAAGGGTTTTTGTCAAATGTTATGTGGAAATGAAAATTTTAGTTCTGCAGCTGTATTACTTCTACATTGTACATTTTCTGAAACTTCTGACCTACTGTATACCTCTTCTTTTTGTAGTTTTTGGTACTTTCTTTGATATAAATGCAACATCCTTCTATAGGACTCAGGTGAGGATAGCTTCCTTAACTTAATTCTATTTAACCTGTTAATGATAATGGGGGTATCACAAGCAACTTGTGACTTGATAATGTGGCAACACTCTTGAATTCTGTGTGGTTTCAAAGAAAAAGAGGAATAAAATAAACTTGATGGAGATTACACAATTATATATGATTAATAATTTTTTATAAGCCCAGGTTTAAACTTTATCAAAACATTTCATTTTTATTGTCTTCTGACTTGTCTTCATAATCATACTACAAGGAAAAGGAAATTTTGGCTGAACAGGTTCCCTTAGAATTTTACAGAAGGATCAGCCAATTGTTCAGTTTTGTAGACTTGCTTTGGTGTAACACCTTTGAAAATGTGACACTTGGAACTATATATTCTGCACTAAGTATTAGAACAGTTTTGTTGACAAATTACACTGTTAAAAACAACAACAACAACAAAGTATAAAGACAGCTTCAGTCTGATTGGGCATTTGTGTCCAACTACAGTCTGATTGTGCATGTGTGTTCAATTCACTGTTTATCGCATGCGGTACCCGATGTATAATTCATTCTTAGTGATATGAGAAATAATTCTAAAAGAGGTGTATTTGGTGTGCTTCTGGTAGGTGTAACTTTTCTGGAGAGGTCACTACATTACATGTTATTAACTCAGTCAAATGGCCAGAATCTCTGAAACAATGTTAATAGTGAGGTATTTATTTTCAGGTTGATAATGAATACCGCCTATACTGGGACCAGTTTGTTTTAAAACTTGATGTTGTTGACTCTGATCCTGTGACTGGAACTGAAGTACTGCACTGGGTTACAAAATTTCCTGTAAGTATCTCATTTTATACATCTATTCTTTTCTTGGGTTTTGCATTGTTTGTTTCTTTTTAACTGGTTATTTATATGATAGGGCTAACAATGTTCTGGCCCAGTTGTCCAAAGGGTGGATAACCTTATCCTCCAGATAAGGGTTGACAAAATGTACTAAGCTATCCACCAGATCAAGATTTATCCAGTAGACAGTGTCATCCACTCTCTTCGAACAACTGGGTCCAGACCCTTAGTTTACCAATACAAATAAAGGTGTGCATGTTTAGTGTTCATGAAGTTGATTTTAAAATGTTTATCTGCGGAGTGTACAAAAATTATTCACAGTACTTTATCAGTAAAGTATTTAAGTAATTAAACTAATTTATCCAAACTGCAGAGCAGATTTTTCGGGAATAGTGTACTCAATGTTTTACCTTCTTGTTTTTTTTCTTTTGTCATCTATAGTACCCATTGAGAAATAGAGACTATGTGTTTGTAAGAAGAGGGAAGGTAAGTAAATGGAGATTGTTTTTACAATGGGTTTTAGTCAGGCAGAACTGCCAACCTCTTCCTATTGTGTATTTTTTTCTCCTTTTCTTTTCGTTTAACCCTCTCCACCCTAAAATCAGTATGTATATTCTCTATACTGTTCTCCATTTATGTCCTGAGATGCTGACAAAGAGAATTTGTTTAAAAATCAAGAGCTTCTTTAGTTGGTGATCATGTCCTTGATTCAGGTTGATATTGTAACACAAAAACTAGGAGCAGATGCTATTTACACTTAGGCTTCAAAGGGTTAAGTGAATAATGTGCTGGTGTGTCAGCATTTTCCTTTGAATTCTACAGTTGCAGCAATGTTTAGTTTTCTGGGATTTCTTTAAAACACTGCACAAGTGTAATCATTTAAAGAGTAACCCTGAAGGTTCACAGTAACTGGAACAGCATTCAATTAATTAACCAGCATGAAAAAATAACTGATATGCTCAAGGAGATCTTTGAAAAGCGTAGAAACATTAATACCAAGAAGGCCAAAGTTACCAGTGCACTATTTATTTATTAAAATTTGACATTTGAATGTCCATATTTCAGATTGATCATAATTCAAGGACAATGGTTCTGTTATCAAGGTGAGCAACAGAGTCATGTTGCATAGATGGTTTGTATCAGCACGATTTCAGTGCACAGTGTAAACTTAAATTTCTATAGAGATGACCCACCATTAGTATGGCAAGTGTTACTTACTGATTTCCCATGAACCCCATTTAACCATCATTGCATGCATAGACAGGTGTTTTAAGGGGTTTGTGGTTACAAAAATGTGACATCCAGAAAATTATGCAATTGTTTGCCTTGAATTTCCCATTACCTTTGTGTGAGCAACATAGTGGAAAAGCTGAATATACTGTTTGTTACTGTAATTAACAGTTCATGATTACCTACCCAGGGCAACTCATCATCCACTCTGTCCAGAGAATAATGAACATGTGCGAGTGCCAAGCTACCACTCCAGCATGGTGATTGTACCACATAAAACATTTGATGAGGTGAGACAAGCTTTTGATCTTAAGAGCTGAAGGTTCAAATTATTTTTTCTTAAAACTTTTGAAAAATGTGAGACTAGAAATTTCAGTTCAGTTAGTAATTGGAGATAATGTAAGAGGGCAACATAATTTTTTCTCTTCTGCAAACCTTTTAAGTTCTTTTTTTTTTTTTGCCAATGTTCACTTTGCAGGATGGATTTGACTTTGTTTTGTCTTACTTTGATGATCCCAAGACAAACTTTCCATCTTACTGCATGAATATTTTGACAAGCACAAGTAAGTCAATGCAATATCTTTTGTGGATACAGTGACTGGAATGTACTTTAAAATGTGGTTCCTTTGGGTTTGAGTCTGGTGCAATACAGCTTAAAGAAAAGGGCGTCTTGCTGTTGGGCATATATGTATGTTGCTTCATTGTAGAATTAATCAAAGAGTTTGGTGGGTGAAACAAAACATGATGTGTCGTTTTTGATTTGAAGAGTTTTCCTGCCATTGCTAGGCTGCCATTTTATTGAGAAGTGGGGGTTGGCACTGTATAAGTTTTATGGACGTTTTAATGGAATTTTTACATTGATTCATTCAGACTAGGAGCAAAAGCTCTTCCTTGGCTTAGTTAAGACTGTGTGTTGAAAGAAATGGTCAGAAATATCTTGAAAATAAGCAAACCACAGGAAAACTCTTGGAGAAGAAATTTGTGGTACAGATCTATGTTTTGGCGATATTTTTTTTTCTTGGGCATGAGACTAGGCTGGAAGAAAGAGGCTGACTCGCCTATACCTTTCATACTTACACGTGTCTCAAGGAAAACCTGTTTGTCTTGAATGATACCATTCATCTTAAAAATGGCTGAAGGCCTTTTTTAACTCTGTATTCAGTTATTTTTCAGTCTTATTTATGTGCTTGCATAATTATCTATTAGCTTATTTAATGATTTGGAGTTATTCGCTTTTTCCTTTTTCAGATCTCCCAACTTTTATTGATACACTTCATAATGCAGCTGCTGGTTTAAATCAACACCAAGAAAAAGTTTTACAAGCGGGTTGAAACACCACTATCACAACTTTATGACAAAATGAACATTAAAATTATGAAAACATTGTGGACAATTTAAATTTCAGCAAAGCCAGTTAACTGTTTTTGCAAGACGTAAATTGATATACCTTTCTGCAGTACTCCGAGGCAAGTACATGTGAACCTTTGAGGATACATCAAGTGCAAAGTTGCGACGATTCAAAAAGAGTTGTAAACCTATTGTAGTTTCACATCACGCAAACGGTGTGTGGGGTGAATGAAGCCGAAAACAAAAAATATTTTAGAGAAATTAAGAGAGAATTAATTGAGCAAACATTGTCCACTCTAAAACGAAGTTATGTAGAAAAACGTACACTTTATTTTTGGTATGATGTTGATTAAATACAACTGCGATACTTTGCACGTGTAGTGTTCTATGGTCAGATTGTACCACGACAATTAAAAGCTAGAGTACGTGTTCGTGATTTTGAGCACATCCAGAAACAGAAACAGAAAAGAAAGGAAGAAAGGAAAAAACTTGGATATGCGATCGGAGTGAATTAGCATGGCAGTAACTAGAAAGACAATCTCGGGAAGCGGAAACCCTCTGAAACCAGCAGGTTGCCATAAGTAGGTACTTCAGATGATGTATTTTTCTGAGTAAACAACCAAAGTTGTAAATTTGGTGGAGATAAACGTCTTTATTTCACATTCTCAGTACTTAAAAGTTGTGTCCGTGAAAAACATCCCAAGAACTTACACCCTTGAAGAGTTAAATATCCTGACCTTTGCAGCGCTCTGAGCGGTAAAAATTTACTTTCAAAAGTTTAGTTGCATAACGACAAAACACACGGAAAAAGAGAGAAAGAGAGATGCAGAACAACGACGTGAAAAAGATTACCTTGGACTACAAGTAACTTCATTGGAAGATGCTTTTTGACCTAAAGATCATTTTCTTGGTCTACGGAAGCCACATTTTTTTATCACGCCAAATTCTTTACATCGGCACAGAAACAAAAATCAACACCTCAAGACGGAATAACACGAGGTCACACGTAAATAAGTAGCGCTGTATGTCTTTTTTTTTCTTTCGTGGAACTTTTACACACTAGAGACCTGTTCGTTTTCACAAGTGATCTTGTGCCGGTGCCAGTCCTTCGCTTGACAGTCTCGGCCACAGTAACCACGCTTGTGACACGCAGAGCACTGGAAATGAGCTGCGGCGCCGCATGGGCAAAATAAAAGTGCTGCTTCTGAAGATTAGAAAAGAAAAACAAATTCAACCTAAACAAATTTGGAAGCGAGAGATTGCGTCGACTTCAATTTAACCTGCTCCCACACTGCTACCCCTAGCGCATTTTACTTTTCCTTACCTTGTTTGTTGGCAAATCTGATGATTACCGACAAGTTATACATGCTCTTGGTTGTCGCCTCGCTGGATGGTTCCACATCAGCCATCATGGCATCTTGGAATAGGAAAACTCGCTCAAGAAGGGTTTCAAAGAATTCCCTCTTTAATATTTCCCGAATGTCACCAAGGGTAGCATCGCTAGGAAACTCGACGAAGCCGATTTTCGTGAAAGGCTTTCTTCCTTCTCCTTCAGCGACTGTGTTGAGGACATTCACGGGAAGTCTGACAGTGTATGACTCCTCTGTTGTTAAAAAGAATTGACACAGTTCAAAAAGAATTATCAACAAAAGGGCACCTAAAACAAGCACCATCTAACATTAATTTCCACGGAGACCTCACCGTTTGACATGATCATGAATGACACGATTCAAACACGCTACGCGGGCTGAGTTTTTTAGTATAAGTTCGACAAAAATTCTCAATAGACTGCGTGGAACAGTCCTTAATTTACCTTTAATTCACAGGAGTGTTTAACTTGTAATACCTCGTACAGAAAACAGACAATGAGAACACTTAAACTCATCAGGTTGAAGTTGTTGTCTTGATCTCCCACCAATTTCTCGCAATTACTTTACAAAGGAATGTGTGGCTGCCAGTGGGGAAATTAACAATAAGATCTTGGGAATTGAAAAGTTAATTGTCGAAGGTAATATTGGGTTGCATTGGCACTCTGATTGTTCTTAAGAATTTGTACACTGCGTGAGCCAACTGCAAGCGACACTACATGCAAAAGTAGTCGTTACGTTGTAAGTCGCTTTTTCTTGCGCTTCAGACTGTTTAAATCATCGAGTATGAGTTTTCTCAAGGGTTGATTTGCATTATCTTGATTATTGCTGCAGCTGTGGTTTTGCACTACATTCAAACGAAAAGCGTGGTCGTCTGTTGACCCTTCTACCACTAATACTGACTAGCATCTAATTTCTCCTTATCACCCCTGAATCAAACATTGCATTAAGGTCATAGGAAGCAGAGGAAATGATCACCAAACTTAAGAAGCACTTGATTGTTCAACAAATTCTCCTTCTCAGCACTAAACGAAATAATGCTGAGAAGGAGAGAATAGTATGGAGAAAATGCATACTGATAACAGGGTGAAGGAACTTAAACTAGAAATGATTAAGAAAATTTCAAGTGAACTAAATGACTCACCCTCTACTGTGATGTCATTCCCGTCGTTATTGTTTCCCATGTATCCAGGAGGAAGCGAGGTGACGTTCATTCTGGGTGTACTGTGACCGGAAGATGGGCGACTAGAATCCCGCGATCCTGTTTGAGCTGCAAGGAATAAGACGGCTCTATGACATTGACTTAAGCGTCTCATACAAAGAGATAACTCAGTTTCCCCGTCTACTTGATCATGAAAGGGAGATCAAGTATTTTTTTTTTTCTTGACACTTTTGACATCCGTCAAACCTTTTTAATAAGTCAGAGATCTGCGCAAGGAAAGGAAGTTCGAATATGTAACATACTGCGGCGAAAAAATGTTATCTATTTGAAACATACAACTGTGCATTTTCAGAGAAATAGTAAAGTTGATTGTCACCTTGCAGTACATGAATGGTAATTTCAAATTAATTCAAAAAATACTGTTTCCAGACTCAAAATCCTGATACTAATTGTTTTTTAGATAGATTCAAATTCAGATATCATAGCTCTTGTTCATGATCTACGTCGAGTGCCTTAATGAAGAAATTGCTTAATTACCTTTTTTACCTCTGAAAAACATTTCTTTTATCTAACATAGCTGGAATCAATATGTTTTACTACGAATATCAGCTCATTTTGGCACCTATTTGAGCAGGCTACATAAACTTACGTGATTCTTGGGCCATCAGTCTCTTGTACAAAACAGCCTTCTCAAAAATAAAATGCCGACGGCTCTGGTCTTTCAAAGATTTGCTTGTGGGAGTACCCGAGTCAGCCGAAGATGGCGTCCCATTCCTTGTCAACTCTTCGTCTGATGAATCACTGCCAAAGGACGTACCATTTTGAGCTCGCATTCGTAGCTTTTGTGGTGATTGTCTTCGTTTTGGCGTTTGCGGGCTTAAATTTATCGGTGAGCCTTCAGTTGAGGAGTTCTCTTGCACCAAAATTTGGCTGTCACTCTTATGTTTCACCGTCTGTCTACTAAGAATCGATGCATCCCTGAAGTTGGCGTCAATCGTGGGAGATGACAGTGCATGTTGTGGAGTGCGCCTAACAAGTGCAGGAGAGGTATTCTCTGACCACGCCTCAATAGACGCCTGAGAAGATGCAGAATTCACTTTGCGTACCTTCCGCTTGAAAAAGTTACCCTTTTGCGCTGAAGTATTTCTTGAAGAGGGCCTCGACGATGGAGGTGTTTCATTGTCCGAAGACTCGAAACAGTCATTGGTTAATTCGCTGAACAGAATCATCTCAGTACCTCCCATTTTGTCACTCGTCTGCTTGGCTGAGTGCGAATCGATGATATTGATTTTTGATGCGCTTTTCCACGACAATTTACCTTTTGCTTGACGAACGCGTTTCCTACAAAAGAAGAACGCCACTCCTATGATAACACCAAGAGCGACGACCCCGCATACCGCGGTCACTGCAGCCGTTGGAAATTTTGATCGGTCTTCCTCTGTTTGAGACACCTTATCATTACGGTGATAATCTTGTCCATCTACGCGCATGACCATTTGAGCTTGATATTCTGTGTTGTTCACACGCAAAGTGTACCCTGACTTGATCATGTCCCATAATGCAACTAGAGTGTTATCCATCTGAGATCTCTGGGCCGTAATGTCAAAATAGACCAGGATGCTACCTCGTGCGAGTCTCACATTATCAATTTTTGCATGTGGGAATTTTAAAGTTAAGTCTTCTATGAACGTTTTCATAAAAGTGTCTTTGTTTCCTTCGACCTCTGAGAAATCGTTTCGGAAAACAAACATAACGTTTTTCATGACAGGTGGATCAAGACAAGTTGTAAATGACTCTGAAACGTTGACAGTTATTTGAGGCGAGTGTCCACTGGTGACCACAAGGGCAGTGTTTGGCGCCAATTGAACTGTTATTGGTGCAGGGAACGTTGGATCACGCGAAAACGTAAAAAGGGGTGTGACCACTGGCTCCGGCCATTTAGCACCCTTCGTTACCTGAATCATGGACACGCCTAAGTTTTCCGTTTCTATTTGGGAATGTTTAGTCATTACTATAAAGCGTTCGCCTCGATGTCCAGCCTTCACGATACCTCCAAACAACTCGTGCTCTTGATCGTAAGTCGCTATCAGTTCTCCTGTGTCGAATGAGGTGCTTTCAAGTTGTGCATTCAAGACGTCCGATCCACTAGCAAACTCAAAGTATAGTTGGGTGTCAGTATTTGTCTCCTTGGTTCCATCTCTAGCGCTCAACTCAGCTGTTATTTCTAACTCGCAGTTTGTAGAATTATTTTGGTGATCAGGTACGCTCGTATGAAAGAATTTTAAAAATCGCACCATATCCATATTTGCACGTGCCAACAGGTAGGCATCGTCCCGTTCTGGAATTCCATTTAGGTTGAAATCCATGACTTGAAGCTATAAGGAGAAAGTACAGGGTCCTAAGAGTAGGGGTCTTAATAAGTTCCACTAGGGTTAGAATACGCAGAAAGGAAAGAGATATAGCGGAAATCTTAAAATATATTTTACGGTTGAAGGTGTGGCAAGTAATGGTCTCTTCCGTCTCATGTCTTAGCTATTTTTCTCAATAAGCGTTATCGTTCATCCACTTTGTGTCCCGTCAAGAATATCTACGCTATGTTCTTGCTAGTTTGAAGGCAGTTTGCCTGCTTCACAAGAAATTACTCTTGTATCGCGACATCCTGCCCAACTTAAAAGTTTCTAAGGCGTTAAAACAAGATCTCAGGAATTATGCACGCCAGTGGCGATAGCAAAGTCACAAGCTATCCAAAATCCAAAATGTAGGGATCAGACAAAAGTAATGAACGTATTTTCAATTTATGCGCTTACCATTTTATTGGTTGTTCGCCTCAGCATCATTTTCCCGAACTCACTGTTGAAGTTATCTTCCACTGCCAAGCTGTGCGCTAAAGTGAAAGCTGCGTCCTTGATGTTAAACACACAGTCTTCGTTGACATCTCCCAGCATTGAGTTCTGGCATGTCGTCAGAGTTGGTGAATAGTCTCCCGCTATGAAACCCAAGTTTTGATCCATTAAAATGTTCACTGTTGCTTGAATTGTAGGCACACCATTATCCAAGGAGTCGAAAACTAGATCAGCAACATGTGAAGTAGTATTTTCAGGGTTTGTCAGATCAGCTAAATGCAACTGACCGTAATTGTAAGAGTATGCAAAACTTCTCTTCAATTCAACAAAATGGACTTGACTTTCGTCGAACGAAATCTTTACGTCAAACGCAAGAAGTTTTGCTTTTCCTGGATTCACGCGGACAGGGATGGTAATTCGCTGGTTAGCTTTCAAAGCTGGTATTGCGGGGCCGTACTCTTGTCCAATATCAACACCACCCACTGGTGGTACTGTATTGCAATAAAACTGAGATCTCTGTGGCTCAGCTTGGCCCTGAAGCGGAGTCACTGTCACGGTTACCAAGTCATAATAATCTGATAACAACGTGACAACACCAGTCATGTTATCAACCAAAGCCACCTCTTTCTGGCTGCTTTTGAATGTAACAAGTCCAGGAAATTTAGAGAAATTCTGCACCCTAAACGTGGAGCTGTCGTTCATAGCAAAGTCCACTTGTACCTGACCTTGCGTCGCAAACGCAGGACCAACAAGAGTTTGATTCCTAAGTCCAGTTATTTCTACAGCAACTATTTCATTGACAGTTATTACCTCAGCTGAAATTTCAAGCCTAAGAGTACTAGACGCTCTCCCGGAGAACATACCAATAAGACTTATGTTCCCGCTGGTGCTTACACTCTCTACAAACAACACATTTCTCGGACTGGCTCCCACCAAGGCTTTAACACCCACGTCATTGCTTATGACATTGAAGGAGGCTGATATCATCTTGGTAACGTCATAAGTGGAGTTATCCGTCAAAATGAGGTACAGAATAAGAGCAGCTGACTGGACGTTGCCATGACGATTACCTACGCGCTTTAGCGATTTCAAGGTTACTTCTGAGTTTTTTGTGGTTGGATAAGGTACAGCTGATAGCTGTAGAGAGGAAAACCCAACTACGTTGACTTGGACACGAACATTGTAAATGTTATGAACACGAACAATAAGAACGCCATGACCCAGTAATCCCTGGCGGTTTGCTGCAATTATTTTCTTGCCATCAGCCGACACAACTGAGAACAGACCACGTGATTCTGACTTGTCGTCAAATGTCAATCTGTTGTCATCGTCAGATAGCTTTTCTCGGTTACCTGTTGACAGGAAATACTCGTCAGCGTTCTTGAAACCTTTCAATACACAATGATTGGTTACATTCACACGGCGCCATGACATAAAGAAGTATAATGCCTCGTTTCATAATTGAAGAGTAAAGTATTTTCCCTTTGAATAACAAAAGGATTTAAGCCGAATCATTTCCAAATTCTTGGATAGCAATGAAAAGAGAGAATGTTGGTTAATGAGTGAAGACTTTTATCCCCGTACATGAAAATTTTGATTTAACAATTATGACAACTTGGATTAAAAGATCAACAGTTACAAGAAAACGTTTCTCGGATTGTGGTCTCTCTCCGATCTAGTGTCGTCATATCTCACCGTTTTCATACAGCAACAGTACTGATATCGGACTACTAATTGCAACGCCAACTGCAACAGCAGGGTCCCCTGGAGGACTTATCCTGCTGATCACATCTTCAATAAGCACATCCACGCCTCCACTGTCATTCACATTGGTGAGTCGAACTGTCACCTTAGCAACCGTGGAAAACCGCTGAGCTGATGGAGCGTTGTCGCTTACACGTACAACAAGGGTGTATCTCACGATTGTTTCATAGTCCAGATCCTTTTTGACCATGATCACACCAGTTTTGGAATTGATATCAAAATTGATGTCTTCGTTACCACCTATAATAGAATAACTAAGTTGTCCGTCCATTCCGAAGTCTCTGTCTGTGCCATTGATGTCCGCAACAATGGAACCAACAGCAGTGTCTTCAGGTATTTTTACGAAGATACTTGCGGAATGTTGTAACTGTGGTGCAAACTCGTTCACGCTGACTATTTCTATGGTAACCAGCACCTCACTGGTCAGTGGCACCTGACCCTTGTCCAATGCCTCGACAGTGAGGGTGTAAAGAAGATCGTCCACGTGTTGCTGTGTCTCCAGATCAAGGCTTTTTCTTATTGTTATTATTCCAGTGTTGGAGTTCATTTCAAAGAAGCCATGGTTGTTACCTGACTTGATTTTGTACTCAACTTGGCCATTTGAACCTAAAACAGAGTCAACATAATTAGTAAATTAAATACAAATGAGTTGTTTATTTTTCCGACTGATTTCGCTCTTCAACCGTTTTTTTAGAAAAATCAACTCCTCTAGAAAGAAGAAAGAGCAAAGAAGCCCTACATTTAAAGATATGATTTTCAATTTTGCGTCACAGAGTTTCATATCACGATCATTCACATGAACAACATTTAAGTAGAGTTGTAGAGTGCGAAACCAGCAAGCCTAACTCCCTTACTTACGAAAATATGCAAACCATTAAAGTCGGAATGATCTGGTTGTCGCGCCGAACAGATTTATGTGTCAAATGCTAAATAGTAAAATCGTAATATTCTTTTTGCGAAGAATTAAAGCAGCTCCCGAAGTGGTGCACGCACTGAAATGAACACTTTGATTTTCACAATATTGGGACAGTCAGAAGCGGTTATTTAGGGTCACAAACTAGTACTTTATTACGGAAATAGTTGGTTTTAATTTGAATTCCCTCCGAATTCTTCTCCCTGGCTAGTTAAATTTATGAAGGCGAGAAAAAAAAATCAGCTGGCTTGAGCTCCACTTTCAGGCTTAAATATTACATACCTGCGTCAGTATCACTCGCTCGCACTGTGATGACGTCACTGCCTACTTTCACAGTTTCCTTGACAGCGACGTAGTAAGAACCTTTGCTGAAAACTGGTTTGTTATCATTGATATCCGTTAGACTTAGATTCACAAACGTGATAGACGAACGTTGATTGACTATTTTAACAGGCCAGTCAGAAGCCTCTATTTCCAGTTGGTACCTTGAAGTTGTCTCTCGATCCAATGGAGCGTGAATGAATATTTTTCCAGACGAAGACTCGATCCGAAAACGCCTATCCTCGTTTCCTTTCAGTATGTTATATCTGAATTTGCAAATAGAAAGTATTATTCAAAAAACGTTTACACAGAGAGGTCCAGTTGTCTCCTCACTCCTGAAGATCACCAAAAAGATCAAGATAAGGGATACCGTTAATTAAGTTCCGGAACATGCTCGGTAAATCACATTAATTACCACACTGCTTAAACCCACAAATTCTTAGCACGCAAACGTTGACTCAATTGTTTCCCTTCACTTAAATACAGTGGTAGTGCTGATTAGCTGAAGTCGACAAGCACTAAAAAAATTCCATCCGTCCTTGGGTCCCATTTTGCGACGCAAAGTATCTGTGGTTAACCTTTCAACTATGAGGCAGGTGCACACTCAACCAGCCCAAGTTCAAGATATCTGTGTTGGGTTTAACAAGACCCCACTGTATCATCATCTCATGAACCTGAGGCCTTAACCCCCTGGTGCGATACAATCCTTAAGTTGTTGTCCTTCTTCTGATAACTATGAATAATAAGTTGGTATTAAATTCACACCAAGTTACTACGGTTTTTTTTATATTTACTAAAATCGAGCCGGACAAACAGCAAATCGAATAGAGTTTATCTGGTAATGACTGTCCTCGGAATTGTTACGAAGTGGTACAATTTATACAATGTGATCGAGCGGAATTCATGCGTAGGATATCAAACCTTTCATTATGTCTATATGAATTAAAGTGAGCTCTGAAACAAACTTGTTCTACTAAATACAACTGCAAAACCCACGTTATGAATCCATCAGGCCCAAAGTCCTTGTCTTTGGCTGTGACTTGGCATAAAAGCGTTCCAACAGCGGTATCTTCTGGAATTTGCAAGGAACGACCAGGGTGAATGAACTCAGGAGTAAATTCATTCACACTTTTGACTTTCAACACAAATGTAACATTGTTAGACAACTGAGGATTCCCATGATCCTTTGCCTCGACCACAAGTGTGAAGTTTGGGTAAGGTGCTTGCGAAGACTCCAGATCAAGGCTCTTTTGTAACGTCAGGTCTCCAGTGTCAGCACTTAAACCGAAGTAGCCTTCCAAGTTCCCAGCGGTGATGACGTAACTCACACGCCCATTTTCACCTGAGTCGAGATCGGTTGCCAGGAAAGTTGTAGCCTTTTCACCTGAAATGAGAGACATGGAACGATAAATAAACGTTAAGAACCAATGAAAGAGAGGTTTTAAAGAGGTGTTGGTTCCTTTATGTTTAACGTGGACATAGACGAAAAAGTTAATTTGAGGTCACGAGGGACATAAAACATATCTAAGACCCTGTGAAAGAGACAGTCATGACTTTCAGCGAACACCAGTCTGATATTTGAGCTCTATATGGAGGTTGATTAGTAAATCACGGAATAAGTTGAGAAAAATCGAATAGAAACTATATTTATATTTTGCACACAACTGGCGGCAATTTGGAAAAAAGTTATATATTTTTCTCTAATTCTTATGAAAAAAAAAGTTTTCGCCGTGCGCTTCGCCTCACCTGTGGAAAGAGTCTCGGGCACTTGAATTGTAGTTAAATTGTTTGAAAACAATGGATTATTGTCATTTACATCTTTCACATGGACCTGCAGGTCAAAGTCAGTGTATCGCGCACCACCAGTGGGGTCACTGTCTGATGCACGAATTATTAGCCTGTGCAGGGGTGATGTCTCGTGATCCAGAGATGAAGTCAATGTCACGACTCCAGAAGAACTATTAACCACAAACGTTCCGTCGCTTTCACCACTGTAGATGAAATAATGAACAATACCTGCGGAGTGATGTAAACAACCATGCATAAGTAAGAAATACTGCTCGAATCATAGCTGATAATTTATACAACGTTCTCAATAACGTCACAAAGTATGAATAGTTTTAAACATCTTCTGCGCAGGAAATTCAAGGTTCACATAAAGTAGGGGTAGATCTCAAGTAAAAGCCTTATTCTAGCCGTTTATTTTGTAGTTTACGAAGAACTAAAATGAGTGTCTACCTTTTCAGGCTAAGGAAATCTTGAGAGACACAGGCTTCCCTTTGAAGTTTTGTGATTGCAACAATTAAATCTGAAATGAACTCCCTCAGAGTTTCGTTTTGACAAGATATCTTTATCCTTTTCTTTTCAGATATCATAAACGGCTTTTTACGTTCTATGCCCCAAGGAAAGCGAAGAGATGTCCAATAAAGGAATGAAGAATTTCGTGTTGAAACAACCCCATTAGCCAGTCCCTTGATACTTAGTTATTCTGGTTCTGTATTACCAATCTGTAAAATGTTTTTGTGTAAACCTTTCCATTTTACCTTGCACTCCGAAATCGTTATCAGTAGCATTCACATCCATCAACACAAGTCCATTTCCAGGATCGTAGTTTTCCTTTACGGTAACAACAGCTGATTGGTCGTGAGTGAGCTGAGGCGAAAACTCATTTACTGGTGCGATGTCTATTACCACAATGGTGGAGTTACTTAGTGGAGGTGATCCTAGGTCGGTCACATGAACACCTGAAATGCACCAAAACAGAGCGAATTCTTCAGTAAATAGAGAATGAGTACCTCTTGCCTAAGGTTTCCTATGGCGCCTCCCAATTCAGATACGTTACTGTTTCAAATTGATGATCTATTAGAAAACGCTCTTTCTCAAATTTGGCTGCTTCAGTAAAACTTTGCAAATGTTCTCTAAACTGGTTCAAGGATTGTAAAGGGGCACTAATGGAGACTGTTTTCATTACGAAGGTGAATAAAATATTGCTTTACCTAAGCTGTAATTCAGTGATGGTGGAGCTGGTCCCTCCAAATCAAGTGAACGTTTAACAATAATGTCCCCTGTGTCAGCTTTGATGTCAAAATAACCGTCACTGTTTCCTGATGTGATAGAAAACCTTAACTTGGCATTTGCTCCTGCGTCGCGGTCCATTGCGTCCACATGAAGAATGATGTCACTAAGGTTTTCGTTTTCGTTTACCCGAGATGCAAATCCATTTTTGGTAAACTGCGGGGCGTTATCGTTAAGGTCGCCAATATGAACCACAATAAGTTCGAAGGAGAAACGAACTTTCTCCTCAACAGCTCCGTCGTAAGCCTTCACTTTCAGGTTATAAACAGCAGTTGTTTCGCGGTCTAATCTCTGCGCAGTAGCTATAACACCAGAGGTCCTGTTAATAAGGAAGCTTTCGTTGATGTTTCCTGCGTCGAGGGCATAATAGACATCACCTTGACTTCCGATATCATTGTCTGTCGCATGGATAGCGATGACATATGAACCGATGGCTGTTCCTTCGTCAACATGAACTGTACGGTTCCCTGGAGTGAACACTGGAAAATAGTCATTGACGTAATGGACCTAAGAGAGAGGAAATAAATGGTAGTTGTATGATGAGGCAGGTTTGCAGAAAGTTGAAAGGGGAAAGGGGAAGGTAAATAGGTAGGCAGCCCAATGGATAGGTAGGTAGGTAAGTAAGTTAGTAGGTAGGTAAGATGGAGGAAGATGTTTGATTAGGTAAATAGATACCATTGCGGGTCATAGGAAGTAAGTGGTTTAGTATGTAAGTAGAGGGGTGTTTGTATACACAACGGAAAAAACTTGAGAAAATGTTAAGGACAGAACAACGCCTTCAATCATGATTCATTGATAACTGCATTGCACTAGTGGCTAGTCGCGCGAGTTTGATATTAGTAAATAGGGAATTTGTGAAAGATGTGAACAAAATTATCTTCGATTTTATCTGGAAGGGGAAGGACAAAATCAAACGCTCTGCTCTTATTGGTGACATTGAAGATGGGGGACTTAAAGCCCCACATTTAGATTCTATAATAGAGACTCAGAGAATCCTCTGTTGCAAAAAGTTGGCAAGCGATCAACCGAGCAATTGGAAAAAAAATTGTACTGCATTATCTTGAACCTGTGGGGGGTAAACTTATTTTATGTTGCGATTTTGATTTGAAGAAATTGCCCATAAAGCTTCCAGCATTTTATGAAGAATGCTTTAAAAGTTTCGCAAAATGTTCCGCAGCAACTCACACAAGTATACAGGATCAAAATAGACAAGATCTTTCAAAAGCTATTGTGTGGAATAATAAATTTATTTGTATCGGTGGCAAATCTGTGTATTTTAAAAATCTCGCAGAAAAAGGAATTCTTCGAATAGGGGATCTAATCTCGGACAATAACGAATTTATTGTTAAAAGTAATTACAAGTTGAGAGAATTAAACACCTCGCCGTTAGATGTATTTAGACTTATTTCTGTAATAGACGCCTTACCAGTTGAATGGCGTGAATCATTAAACACGCTTGCTTCTACAGCTGACGAGCCTTTCAATTTGTATAACGAAATTAAATTAAGTTTTAATGACAAAAACGTTTTAATTGAAACAGTCATTTCAAAGACTATATATAAAGAACTTCGAAATAGAATCATCACTCCACCGACTGCCCAACTGAATTTTAAGACTCATTTTGTTAATGATGTTTTAGAATGGAAAGAGATTTACAGCTTGCCATTTCGTACTTCCTTGGACATAAAATCGCGTGAATTCCAGTATAAACTACTTAACAGGTGTCTTATCACAAATTCTTTTTTAAACAAAATTGGTATTATTCCATCCCCGGCGTGTTCCTTCTGTGGCGAAATGAACGAATCCTTGGAGCATTTTTTTATTTCTTGTCGTTATACTAAGGATTTCTGGGCTGAGGTAATAAAGTGGTTCGATAATCAAGGCGTAAAGATAAAACACCTCTCTGAAAAAGATATAATGTTTGGTATTTTAAGGTGCGAAGACGAATTATTAATCAATCATATTTTAATAATTGCCAAACAGTATTTATATTCTTGCCGACAGAACAAATCTCTTCCTTCAATTAAAGTATTAAACCTCAAAATTAAAACGATCCACCAACTCGAGACTATGATCGCAAAATCAAATAATAAGCTAAAAGCTCATAATATGAAATGGGACAAGTACAAAAATTATTAGATGATATAGAATCTCATGTTTGTTGCTGCGCTGTACTAGTATTATATTTAGAAGCCGAGGAGAGCTAAGAGGAACTGTGGGTTGTGTATGTAGATATATGATGTGCCGTGTCTGTCTATTTATGTGAATTATGTTTGTTTATGAAAAATGTATGTAACTTTGAATTAATAAAAATTAATAAAATACAAAAAAAAAAAAAAACTAGTGGCTTACCTCGAACGCCGCTGATAGGACGACATGTCCGTAGCTAGATTCAAACCTCAATACATAACCAAGCCCGTACAAGGATACAAGAAGATTAGTAAACACAGCTCGCTCCTTTTCTACTGAAATATTAAACGTTCCATTCAAGAAAGAATCTCTAGGCTTGGGGTTGGCATGCAGTGACGCAGTAACCCACCATGGAGTCTTCAAGGGTGCGGCCCTTCTACCCGTTCCCATATCTCGAACTTCCACCACTGGCTGGGTACCAAATGGTACAGATTGATCCGCATTGGCTATATGTGTGACGACCTCCAGATAAAACTGCCTTGGTTTTACGTCAAATGAATTCGATATCGCCAATATTCCGGAGTATGCTTGTGAGTGAGGACTGACCGACACGTTGAATTTCATCCGATAATTGGTTGCCACATCATAAAAACTAAAGTTTGAGAACTCCACGCGCCCTGAAACTGGTATTTGGAATTTCCTTTGGCCAAGAAGCACCTGGTTTCCAGCCCCCTCTTCCATTGAAGCTAGAATTGTCCACGTTCGACGGCGCCAGCCTAGATTTCCAACCAATACGTTCGTGGCAGCGTCTCGGATCTCGAGCACAGGTTGGTGGCCGCATGGAACAGTATCATTGCAGTCTCCTAGAACAAGAAAATACTGGTAGCTTTGGTTTTAGGTTATAGAGATTGGGTTATAAATCCATCAATTACAAGAGTAAGACATTTAACCATTCCTTATACGATCGAAGCAAAAGTGCGCATATTCTTCAAGGTTGAAACTTTTTCTTTTATTGACACCATAACGTAAATGTAAACTTTGAAAATGTATAAAAGTTTGGGTTTCATACTTTGAGGGGACCAGCCTTCGACTTTAATAGAAATTTGTTTGTAATTGAAATGAATTTGAATCATAGATCCTACACTTACCTGGCTGCTGAGTAATAACCAGTTCCAAGATCCTCTCTTTCACGTCAAAAGGAGTGGTGTTAGTTGAGAATTGGTAACGAGATGATGGAATAGTGAAAGCTTTGATAATGAGAATGTAGTTATTTCCCTCATGGTCAATGGCGAGATCAAGAAATGACGCGATACCACCAGAAAATTCTACACTGGATGATCCACTCAGGCTTCCTGGAAGTGGAATTAAGGAACATCGACAAATATTGGTCAATCGAATTAAATGTATACGTTTTGTTCTTGCATCTTTGACCATAATATTCTTCGTAGTCGAGATTGAGAACGGTATCTTTGCTCCTTAAAGAAATGCCAATTAAAAACCATACATATTTAAGACAGGAAATTTGATGCCTAAAAGATCGATTAAATTGCAGACAACACAGTGCATGATGTGAGCTAACGGTCTGAAGCATTTTTGTCTAATAAACTTCTGGGCCCAGTTGTAAAAAGGGCGGACAACGCTATCCAACGGACAAATCGCTATCCAGCGGATAAGTGATAGCTTAACGTATAGCTTTGTCCATCGGATAGAGTTCTATTCAGTGGATAGCGTTATCCGACCTTCGAACAACCGGGGCAGGGGCCGGGGCCGGCTCAAATTTTCTTTAGATAAAGAGCCTTCCATTAATAACCACATAGCTACCTTTATAGTCTTTTGAATTATGTAGCGACGCCCTACAAATCCACTTCCTCCCCTTCCACCCCGTGTTCGTCACTAGTTCTCCATTAGCAGCGTCACGGACCTCAACTAAAGGCTGCTGGCCAAAAAGAACGGTCTCGTTGGCATCACTTGGGTGTCTTACGACCACAAAATACAAGATTCTTTCTTTGACTTCAAAAGGCTTCGACAAAGATGTAAAGCTTGCTTCAGCAGGAAGGGATACTCTGTATTCTAGAACATAGTTTGTGCCGTTGTCGCTAATGTTAAGATTAGTAAAGTTTGCCCAGCCATCATAGAACGGTACAGTCGTGTTTCCACCCAAAAAGGCACCAGGGTCCCCGGTGCCATTCTTGATTGACGCAGTTACATACCTGAAAATATTCATGGCAGAAATGAATTGATGCTATCTAACTACAGTATCTTAAGCAGTTGTACACCTCCCAACTCGTCACCATGGCATCGTCATGCATCAAGTTTTAAGACATGAAAGAGTGAGTGTGCAATGTTCTTCTCAGAAAAGTTACATTGATCATTAGAGTAATCCCGTTCCTCACCAACCGCTGGAGTACACAGCTTCAGTTTCCAAGGGAGAAAGGGATGCTATTTATAATTGGGTGAAACGATATCAGGAGAATTCTTTGAAATTAGTATGGTAAATCACTAGCTATATCCTTTGATTATGCGTCGAAAGTGAGTTGCTTGGAATTACCACAAAGCGCTTTGAGAATCTTACCATTGTTCACGGTCACTATGTCCCAGCATGTTTACGGTGCGATTGAGTTTATCAACCATCAGCAATTTGGGTTGAATTTGAAAAGGAACAGTTTCATTGGCTCCACCAGGTTGTTGTACTACAACAAGTCGAGCAGGAATCAGGTAATCATGCACCGGACTGGACTTGTTGCCTTCTTTCATCATTTCGACTTGATCAAACCGCCATGTTCCATTTTTTGGTCCGGCTGATAAAGCAGGTACAAATTAGATAATCAAAATCTTTTTTGTTGGTGGTAGTGTTGTTTTGTTTTATGGAGAGACTCTTGTTTCTAAAGAAGCTATCCTGTGTCGTTGCATTTGCAGCTTTGGATCCAGCTCTCCCTAAAAGCTCATAAAGTATTACATACCTTCTTCGGGTGTCGCTCGTTTCCATCCTTCCGGGAGTTTTCGTGGAGGCTCGGGATCCGTAACCTCAATCGATAAAATGTCCAAATTAAGAGAGGAAGCCATGCGCCCTGTTTGTGCTGCCTCTACAGTTTTGGAAGCTAAGGACTGGAGACCTATGTACTGTTCAGTGGGGCTCATGGTAGGAGAGGCCGTTGTTGTGGCGGTAACAAAAGGAGGACTAGTGGAACTGAAAAAAACGACAGGGTAATGCGTGATATGATGGTTGCATGTTGTTTAAACAATACAAAGGTTGGCGTACGAGCTACTTACGAGGAATTTCCAGGGACAAATGTATTCTCAGGTGTGTAAGATATGTGACGTTCCGGCGGGTCGCCTACTTCGATCGTGACTGTCATCACCTCATCATTCGAAGTTCTTCGTCGTCTTCGGTTTTTCTCGGCGGCATTTACGATTTCGACTACGCGAATGCGAGACTCGTCGATATTAAGGAGCGAGGCCATATTTTGAACTAAATTCTTTTCGAAGAAGTCGTTGAAATGGACAGGCTTGCTTCCTAGAAGATACAAAAATAAATAAATAAATAAAAGTTAAGGGATCCAAACATTTTATTCCCTAAAGTGTCGATAAGTACAGTCTCAGCCCTAGATTTGTTGCTGAAAATTGAAGTAATAGGATTCACACAAACGCAATTTCATCTTTTGTGATACGAAATCCACGTTGCCTAGAATAACTGAGATACTCACCGAGCTTAACTTGTACGACTGGAGCAGTTCTTATGTCCACAGGAACATTTCCTTTGACTACCACATAAAGTAGATGGCTTTCTCGATCGTAATAGTTGGCTCCGCTGATGCTATTCAAGGTCGGCTCAAACTGGTTATCCGGGAGCTTAGGATCTTTCTTTTTGTAGCTGAAGTTTTTCTCGTTGAAATTTGCATTGGTTGGGAATATGAAAGCGCCTATGCGATATACGTCCAACCGCTGAGGTGTGGTGTACCTGATAGCAACTCGAAGAGCTTGGGAGCCGTTGGCGTTCAGCAACGTTAGGCGAAGGCTTTGAGGATTAGTGCCTGAGAAATGTAGAAAAGCCAAGAAACGTAAGATATCTTTCTGTATCCAATTAAAAAGCTGCATTTACGGAAAGCAAAAAGTAGATTACGAAAATTATAGCAAAACACGATATCAGACTATGACTAAACAAACTTTGATGATAAACAGATGAAAATTATCCTTCGGCAATTCGAAAACAACCTAATTTCTCCCTTAGCGAATGGATCTTACGAAAATCAGTTCATATAAATCAAAACGAAAACGATAAGGACAAAATGTTTACGCTCATCGAGGGAGTTTCTCACCCGTGAAATAGATAGTATAGTTCTGTTGTGTTGCCACGATAGAGAAGAATGTCGATATTCTCTCCATGCATGCGTATCCGAAGCAGCAGCCATGATCCATTGGTCCGTTAAGCAAATCTGTGTATCCATTGGACGATAGAGCAACTGGAGAAAGCCTACGAAGCTCTGTGTCAGCATCCAAGCTCTCTATTATGAACATGTGGTAGTCTACGTAGACGGTAGAAATAAAAAATAGCGTGTAGTTTTACATTTTCTCCTTTGCTGCAATTTTCCGATGAACAAAACGTTTAGTGTCTTCGTTTCTTACCTAGCTTGCTGCATTTGTATCCATTCCATGCTGCATTCCATGAGCAAAAATTCTGTGCATGCGTCCCTCGCACAATTCCATGACGCGGTGCCACGACAGATGCGTTCAACCGCGAACCGTCTGGTGACGTGAGTAAGGCTCGAGGCATGCGGTAATCTCCTGAAGTAGTACGGAAGACTCACATTTAAACGGTAATGTGCAATTGAATGCCTTTTTGTTTCTCAAGTAAAAAATAGTTCTAACTTCAAACTAGACTTTACATGATATCAAGTACAGATCAAGTAACTGGAATCAGGTTTTCTCAGTCGATTTGCCAAATTCAACTTTGTCTCAGGAGGGTTACGAACAAGTCTCTGACGGGAAATTCTATAATCCCATAACACAACCTATAGTGTCCGAAACAGCTACAAAAATCAAAACAATTGTCTACACTTTGTTTTCTAAAGGACATATTTACGACATGACGTATAAATGGCTCAATTCAGGCCAAAACTTACCTAAAATACCAGATTATTTCAGGCAACAATAACCTGGCGCAAAAATATTCTAATCCCCCTATTGTTGCTTATCGGAAGGACAGGTCTCTAAAAAATTCTCTTGTTAGAGCGCAACTTCCTTCATCTTAACTACACAACAGCATTTTAGGAGTTATACATGGTAAGGTTCTATTGACAATACTACAACACAAAAATCGTAACCGATAAAACTTTGTTGCACAATGATGAATTACCCAGTCCTCTCCGCGGATCTTCGTTCCACTCATAATCAGCCTTGGAAATGACACTTCCGCCGAATGTACCAGTTAGGGTTCCGTCAAAATCCTTAATCAAAACATGCTTAGCTCCATCGCAGTCCATATCGATACAGTCAGAGGGGTTTATCCAGGCGATATTTGAGGGTGGTATATAAATCAACTTATCGTTATCAACATTTTGTAAGGAAATGCCGCGTGCTTCGACGGGATGGAATGCATCTGGGGACTTTGGATTGGTGGTGAATACGACACTGTCACGACCACACTGGGTTCCAAAATAAGAAAATCCAACGTTATTTAGTCTTACAACTCCCCTTATTGCTGGATAAGCGTCAGAGTAGCCAATATGTATCCCGTGTAGAGTTGTGTGAACAGTGTTACTCTCCCAGCTTCCACCAGGGCTGTCACTGTAGCAGGTCTCTCCCCTGATGTGAAACCCAATCCTTTCACTGCCCGCTGCAGCGTTATCTCGGAGGACGATTGAAGAGGCCTTACTGATGTCAAATGACGCGTGCCAGAGTTTATTGTTAACTTCATGTCTCCCTTTGTAAGTTGCTGCAATATAGAGGAAGTTCATGTCACACTAAGTTTTCTACAAGTTGAGGTGTCTTATTAATCAAATCTAACGACATTTTATGCTCGAAAATTTAACCAAAATTTATAGTCAGTTGCTGTTAATTCGAGAACCTTTCAAGAAAAATTTTGAGATTACTTTACAAAGGCACTTGAAGCAGCTATATCTTTACAACTACCGCAGGTACTTTCAAATTTTTGAGGGAATGGATATTGTTGTAAAGCCAACTTCACCGGATCTTCGAATGTGAGTCTGATAAAAAAGGAAAGGTATAAATGTAAGGAAATAACAGCTTTTCTCACGCGGTAATATCAAATGGACTAACCACCTTGCGATAATATCAAACCACTCAATTTAAGTTTCACCTTTGCTCACTGTAAACAGATTAATCGGTTACTCGATATACCTGGTGAAACGCTCAACACGGCTAAGTTACGAAGAACCTTGTTATTTGTTCCCCAGACTCTCACGGATGAGCCTACTGTGTGATGAATTACGTTATCGACGACAGTTAACTCATGTGTTCCAAATACACCAATGGCGGTGTTAAACCCATCATGGAATGAATTACCCCGGATGTAGGATGACTTAAGATTGCCAACATCGAGGAGTGCCAGACAATATCTACAAAAGGAAGTAAAATGTACTTATCCTGTCTTAGGTAATAAATTAATTGCACAAGCAGGCGTTTAACGCATATTGTTATTATATGTTCTGCTGGATGGCAAAGGCATGTTACGCACAACCATGTTTCCGGTTTTTGAATCGCTCTTAAAGTCCTGCTACACGTTGAGGCAAAATTGGCTCGTGAACCATCACCTTTAAATCATCTCCATTCTTTTACCTGGGATCAAAATAGTCATTCCATCCTTCCTGACCACAATGATGAAACTCCACATTCTCCATGCGAACTCTTCTGTTAGATGAAACCATGTCATGAAACGAACTAATCAACACGCGACTACCGAACGACTGTTTATCAAGCACATAGCCAGCGTCATCAGCGCCCTTGATCACAATGTTTCTGGTCAGCAGACCCACTTCAGCGACAAGAGAATAGTTCCAAGTTCCTGTGCTATACGACTCCGCGAGGTGTTTATATTTAAGGGTGTTGTTCAGCTGAAGGGTCTTCCGATCAGGATAGACATAAACTGGAAAGGGAAAAGAAACCGTAATTATTTCCCGGAATTAAAATTTCAGGGTCATTCCATAATTGCACGAGATATTTCAAAATCAAGGCTTCATTCTAAATTTTCTCGCAGATGCAATGAAGACCGCTTATTCTCCATCTTAAAACGTGAAAACGGATTGAAACTAAGTTTGTTACAAAAATTGAGGTAAAGTTAAGAGCCAAATTTTTATTCGTGCCTCTTCCACTCTTTAAGAGTCCTTAAAAGAAAGATAAGAAAAAGTCGGAAGCAATAACAACAGTTCCCTTACCTATGGTATGGATTTCTGTGTCGTAAGGTTCATAGGAGGTTGGCGCAATCACAATCTTTTCCCCTGGTTTCCAGTCCACCTCCTTTTTTACATAAATTATGCTGTTTCCTGGGTCAGCAGTTTTGCTCAGACATGTCCAGTACACTGTTCTGTTTAGACCGTGCATTTCCAGATTCCCAAAAATAGCTTAATAAGAGGAGTTATAAGAAAATTTAGTTAAAAAGTAGGATTTAAATAAGAATTTACTCATTTGATTTATGCTATACCGGCAGGATTTCATGGAATAGGAAGACAAACGAATAAAAAAATTGATGGACAAAAGTTGTTTTTTTCGCTCTGAGGCACGCCCTATGAGGCAATATCCTCCGTTGTATTTGGTTGAATTTTAATAAATAGTGCACCAATGAAAACTAATAACTACATTGGAGTATTAAGGTCTCATGAAGCAACGTGCGGCCTGCCGACTTCATCTTCTGAAGAAGACTAGCAATATGCAGTTGAAAACTTCACGATCCATAGAGAAAGTGAATAAAATGGTGAGACAAACGGTGATACTCTATCATTAATCAAATAGAGAATGGCTTGTTCATCAACACTTACCAAGAGCTTTGGAGCCGATGTTAGGACCGCCTTGAACTGAAATGTCTGGAGTATCCCAATTTCCGTTTAGGTTTATAAGAACATTACCTATCATTGGTTGATCTTCCCAACCAATAATAAGGTTTCCTCCTTCACCAATCACAATGTAAGTTGCATTAAGAACAAAGTCCATATAAGGCTCCAACTCTAAGGTACCGTATACGAAAAGTTTTCTCATATAGGGAAGTTCGGTATCCGCTACCATCCACCAGTCTAAATCAGACGGAAATCAACAACCAAGAAAATATATTTATTTTCTCATTTTGATGATGAGGTCACTTTCAAGTTTTATGTCACTTACGTTGTTGGATAATGACATTATCACCATCGTGTGGCAGCTGTTTTTTGTAGCCTCCATATCCAGGATCTGTTCCGTACCAGGCCTCCGGGTCTGACCATCGCAGATATTCAAGGGGACGTTTCTCAGGGGGTGGAGGTGGAATGGGTTTGATACATTCCTTAAAAAAGCAGCGGTAAACCTGTGAAAGTAAAGCGTTGCTTTGAAGCTTTTGTATCGAAGGAACACTCCCCTTTTCAGAGAAGAAATAATATTTATATTTAGCTGAGCTTTAAACCAAAGTTCTCATTGTAACTCAAGTTATTTTAAGTTGAATTCGCGAGTGCTCAAATTACAAAAATTATTATTAGCTTAAAGATCCCAAGTAAGTTTATACGAATAACATTCTAGTAAGGGGTGGTGGCTTACCTGCACCAGTCTCATACGTAAAAAATTGTCTGATTTCAAATTAACATAATTCAGGAGGGAGGATTTTTTCCCTCCCTCGTTATTTCTTAGCGTCTTTCATTTTCAAAGATAAAATTGGCACTAAAGTCCCCCTGAAACGCTTTTTAATTGATGTTTGAACAGGAAAGGATAAGTTGAATCTTTATCAGAGAAGCGGTGTAAAGATCTGTTTGTTTTGTGAATTGTTGGCTTAAGTCTCTCAACGAGATTGACGATCCGTTTTCATCTTCTTCAGTATTAATCATTTTTGGTCTTCATTGGTTAGCCCTTATTTCTTTGATGTTCTTTACTTAAGCAGACAATCAGTTAAAGTTTTAAATGAACAATAACTAATGAACTCACGTGCATTCCTATATCTATGTTTGTGGCTCCCACTCCCAACCCTCCCTTCCCTGACACAATATATGTCAGCGTTTTGGTTTCATTGTTGTAGAACCAGTCACCATTTGACGCATTCGGAGACGGTAAACTGCTGGACATGTTGATATACCTTCCAGTTGTTGAAATCATATCTGGAAGCTGCTTCATGGGGTGAGTCATCCAGACGTAGTCTTGGGCAGCAAATTCGTAGAATACAGCGCTAAGGGTTCAAAATTGGTAAAACATTTTCAGCGAATGAAATTATTTAAAACATTATTAGCATGGAAAAATTTTGACTTACCTCTCTCTTACGCTAACGTTGGTTTATTGAGAGGAGTCGTCAAAAGGAATTTAAAACATTTTTATGGGACAAGGATGGAAACATCGTCACTGGCTATTAATCGCGCAAAAATAAAACATTTTACAATACTTGACAATTATAAGTTTGATGAAGTACAACAGAAAAGCAACTATTTCGAATTACCAGGGAGAGGTGGGGGAGTGGGTTGTAAGTCAAAACTAACATCATTTTTTCCCTCTCATAATTATTTTTCTCTCACTGTTCTAACACACGTGGACCTCATCATAGAATAATCAGTTTCATCGAAGTCTGTTATCTAAAATATGTGTTCATTTACCTGTACGAAATGTTGGTGAGTTGAGGAGCGTTGTCAAAACTAAAATTATAGTTTTGGCCGAGAATAATAGTCGACATCCAACCTTGATCGTGAGTGAGCCTCATGAACCTCCAGGGGACATAACTGGTTCCGTGTTCATTGGATAGGAGAGCGTCACGATAGAGCAGGGAACTAGGAAGGGGATTGTTCCATGCCATCCGGCGGAAACGTATGGTCGAGTCACATATACTTCCGGAAACGCGGCTTACACTCGCGGCGGGAGACTGGGAACAGTGCTTCGGGGGAAGATTGGGATTTGATGGAAGAATGCTTCCGCCACCAGATAAGCCTGTTGTAAATAAGAAATGGTGATATGTTACACCCGATGATACACCATGAGTTGCACTCCATAAGGCAATAGGGAATGAATTTTGTTTGTTAAAATAAGAAAAGATAAACACTTTACAGTGTCAACAAAACCTCGACAAACCTTATTGACGTCGATCATATTGTTATTGCCTTCGACGATCATACAAAATAATCGAGAAAATGATCCTTTCTCATCATTCAAGCAAATGTAATGACCAATTCGTAACAAACACGATCCCCTAAGTACTATCACAGGACCTTTCATGGAAAAGCAAACGACAAGACAGGTAAGGTCTGTTGAAAGTCAAGCGAGTTGCTCCAAGAGAAAATAACTGGACATCAATCTCTTTTGGTTGCACCTAATAGCGTCCCTGGAGAACTACATAAACGCTTCTTTACTCTGTTATAATTTAAGGTGGGAGTAGGTGGCTGAGCAATCTGTTATAAAAATTAACCTTTTCAAACAGACACAAGGAATCTGTATTACGTTCACGTCCTTACCTGTTAATGTACCATCCAGATCTTCAAATACAGCTTCGTGCTCCCATTTGAAGGCTGCTTTATTAGGTGCACTAACAAAGCGAATTTTCTCAAATCGCGTGGTAAAACCTCCCTGCCTAGCTTCACAAAATGAGCATGCGCGCAGAGCAGCGCAAGAGGGCGAATCAAAATTTACAAACGTGGTTCCAGAAACAGTGAGGCGCGAAGACTGTGGAGTCACGATCCCTCCCAGAGTGCAGGCACTAGGACCTTCGCTTACAGCACTGTGTCCCACCACAAGGGAGTCTTTCACTAAGGGTCCATTGTCACCCCAAGGAGCATTCAGATCGGTAAACTCCAGTCCAGCCTCAGAGTTGTCTATCACTGTGAAGTTGATTGTCTGAATGGCTCCTCCACTTGTGACCTCGAAACCTTTAAGGTTGTTGTATGCGAGCAACGTGAAGAACTTGGCTGGTTCTGGTATTGAAGAATCGCAACTGCCTCCACGCATCGGAAAGTATTCTTTGAAGATCCACAAACCATATCTGAAAGAATGAGGTATGATAGACAGATATTTAGATAGGCCCAGTTTAGCTATTTTTTGTCTTCTAACGAGCATGGGACAAATAAAAAAATTGTAAGTCTGCTTAGAAATCTATCCTCAAATCTTCAGCTTTTAGTACTCCTTTGTGGCAAAGGATCGGAATGTGAGTGCGGAGGTTTAAGGATCAATTCCTCACGGAATTCAGAATTTTTTTTCTCTGTCCCGCCCCCGTGACAAGACAAAAAAACAACAAACTTTGTCAGAAGAGCGTGTGTGAAAGAGCCCCTGGCCCGCGAGCGACTCCAAAGTTCAATGTCTCAAAATTCTAATGAGTATGCGTGTCACGCGTCACGCCTAACATCCTAACGTGAGAACCTTCTTAATGTGTTATTTCTCATCTACTGACCAAATTACATCCTTGATTCATCATCTCCAGATTCTTTTTCCTATGAATTTACACAATCACCGAGTTTTTTTCAAAGACATGCTAGTAGGAAGTGGCGTAAAAGGTCCTCGAGCTCATGATTTGAGGACAGTTGCAATATTCGGTGAGTATTAGTATTCACCATTGCTGGTAAAATTGAAGAATAAGAAAAAATTTAATGATCACCTTCAATTTGATTGAATGATCCACTATGTTACTTGAAGTGAATGTGAGCATGTCTACCATCCAGCCTTATAAAAAGAATATAGCAAAAATTACCTTCCGAACGAATGAGCAGTGTTATTCTGGAATTCCCCCAGAGGTGATTTCTTTGGACAGACTGAGGTAGTGAATGAAGGTCCCCCAGGGAAGTTGAGCAAGTTGTACCAAAAGCCATGGTGGCTTCCACTAGCCGCGGCATTGTGACGAACTGGAAACAAGAAAAACGTAAATTCAACAAATTCACAGGCAAGAACATTTTCTCAAGAATTCTTTTAAACTTACCGGTATTATTCGGGTTTGTAACCCAGAATGTAGCTGGTGTGACATCAGTTATGAGAAGTGTGCTAGAGGTCTGGACAAAGACTCCAAGGTTATACTGTATCGTGTTTCCAGTTTCTATTCCATCCTCAATGAAGAATGCGTGACCCATAATATGGTAAGCAACATTATGTTCGACAAGTAATCCAGTCACGCCATGAATTGTCACTGCTCGGTTGAAGGTGTGATGTATTGAACAGCCACGGACGTAAGAGCCGGAGACGTTTCCACTAAGGTGGAAATGAATAGGGTAGCGACCTGGAAGGTAAAAACAAGTCATGTTACAAGTGATACTTTACATCACCTGATTACGTCATTAAAGCAATAACTATGAAAGCTACTCGGAATTTTTCTGCCTTACCAATTCAAAGATAATTCATAAGTAGGGAAAAGGAGGCTTTATATCCCTTGCTTTTAAATTAAATTTGCATTTAAATAGTTAATTCCCAGTGAACTGTGGAGAAGGAGACCCCGAAGAACACAAGAAATCAATCACCTTGCGAGCACAACCCAATCCATTTGAGATCTGGTTGTTCTCTTACCTGAACCTAAGCCAGAGACTTTTGAGACTGAGGCTCTATTCATTGCACCAAATCAGACGAACTAAGAACAGCATAGGGTATAACTTTACGCGGAGACACATCTGATCGACAGAAGCTTGTAAAGTGTTTCTTACCGAATGATAATTAGACTTGACTCGTTTCCCGTCATCAACATTCGTTAAATATTTTAAGGTGGTCTTACATTACGAACGTCGGTTCACACAAACGCTCTGTACTTAATTTCAGAAACGACATTCACCAACTATACCATCGAAAGATAGACTAACTCATACCCAGTCCAAAGGCCTGTCCAGCTTTACGGACCTCCACGTAAGATATTCTACCAGTTACTAATCCCTCACTTTGCATCCTTGCGTTAATCATAATTTGCGACCCAAACTGCTCGCTTCCCATTGACTTTCCATAGCGTCCCTGGTAACAAGTTTGTACAGCAAAGAGGCCTGGATCGAATCCTTCGGGACATTCCGGAATTATCTCAGTCCATTCGTCGTTTTCTGAGCCTTCAACGACGACGTTTCGAGTTAAGAGTCCCACCTCAGCACGCGTTTCTATTGTTCTTCCAGCGATGGTTTGAACAATAGATATGTGCTTATGTTTTACAGGTGGGGTAATGCCAAGAGTACGTCCATCAGCTGACAAGTTCGTAATGTTAAACTCTTCGTTTTCACGCTGAGTACGACTTGTAGAGGCAAGAACTATTTGGTCACCGATCTCCCATGTCACAGAGTGCTTTAGAATCAGCTGAGTATCACCTACAGTAAGACAAAATGAGTTTATGACAAGGGTGCGATCGCATCGATTGGTCGTAACTCACTTTTAATTGCCAAGAGTAAATTACCTAGGACCTCTGGGCATTTGGTCTCGAAAAAACACTGAAAGCAGGCTAGAATCGAAAGCTTACTGAGAATTAAAAGAACTCATTTAATGAGAGAAGTAACATATTTATGCTTGTATAACTTATAAACCCATAAAATCTTAATGGAAGTGTATGATTGAAAGTCGTAGCAAGAATACTTTCAAATAAAATTGAATAATCTAAAATTTAATTCATTTGGCTTCTGAAAAACACCATGTTATCTACTTATGTAATGTGCTTTATGGCAGTTTCAGTTTGAAAAGGAGTTTTTGAGGCATTTAATTGTTATGTTTGACTGAGTTTGCATAAAGGTAAAGTTTTCTTCAGGTTTTTCTTACAAACCTGGAAGAGCAGTCTTAGCTAAATTTGTCCACGTGATGGGCACGACTTTCCCATGTAGATCCAAAGTCCCTTCTCTCACTGCCAAGACTTTAGTTCCAAATATGGGCAACCTCTTATTGTGCAAATGACCATGCAGTATAATCTTGGCTTTATGTTCAAATGGTTTGGTCTCAGTTCCAACTTGCAATTTTCCACCGTCAACAACCAAAATCTTTTCAGAATTTAATGCAATGTCCTTCTCATCGAAAATCAGCTCTCCTCTTATTACTAAAAAAGAGAAAACTGGAGTGTCCACATCGAGAAGAATCGTCTGTCCTGCGGGAATAACAACACCATCTCCTTTGCCTGGCGGGTTTTTGTATCCCCATGTATAAGGCGACGACCAGACATCGATGTACTGAAAATCTGCTTGGTCCTGAGTTGCCATTCCTTTTCCGTCCACCTCCACTCGTACTTTTGTTTCTATTGTTCCTTTCCGTGGTCCTGTCGTACAGCGGATTTCAGTTTTAGTGAAGTAGGTCATTTTGCAGGGAATTCCCGCAATGAAGACTTTATTTCCGTCTTTATTTGGACTAAATCCTATCGGGAAGAGAAAAAATAGTGAGTTATACGTAGCTAGGTTTTCATATCGTGTGTTGAGTTGATGTTTCTGTCCAGCTCTTTTTTCGATTCTTGGACAAAGAGAATCAGGACGATTGGTTGGGATATCTGCATAACGGACCTCAATAACATATAGAAAATCAAGAAAATGTCAAATCCCATAGTACGGAGACGATTTCCAAATCACTGACAAGATCAAGTTTCAGATCGTAACGAATTATCGAAGATAGTTTCATAAGTAAACTTATTAAAGGAATACACCCATTCAAAAAAATCTGCAATTAGCCATGCTTGACCTGGATGAGTCGAGCGAGGATTTGTCTCAACCTCTCCTTATTTAGGTTGATATATCTTTTTTGGGGGATATCATTGTGTTAGCAGTATAAAATAACCCACTTGTGTAGCGTTTCCACTTACCATTTCCCAGTATGGTTAGCTGGACTCCACCACCTGTCCCACCACGAGACGGACTCACTGACGTAATACGTGAGGTGAGAGTTTCTCGATATGCAAAAAAACCTGACTTTGATGACGAAACCTCATTTTTTCCTACGACACTTACTGAACAGTTGATATTAGGGCTGCCTGTTTGTCCTGTATACGATGGAACTTCGCAATAAATCTCGTTCAGCGAGCTGTTAACAATCACACAAACATTGTCGCAGATTCTCACCACTGTGGATGAGTCAAACCCATGTCCTTTGATGGACACAATCCTGCCACCTCCAAGTCCGGAGTCATTAGGCGAAATACTGTCCAAGGATATTTCATAAATAAACGTCACTGGTTTTAAATTAGGATAAGCAGCAAGTCCTTTGCCTTTAACATGAAGTTTAACACTGTAGATCCCTGCAGGACTGTTACCCAGTACGCATGTCACATGTGTTTCACTGGTGCTCACAACATTGCAGGAGACGTTTGCAATTGTCAAGTGCATGTAAGCTGTATTTGAAGAGAAGCCAGCCCCATAGATGCTGACCGTCTGTCCTCCATTTCCAAGAGCTGGTGATACTGACTTGACATAGGGAGTGATAAATGTTCGGAATGCATAACGGAGACGAGGAAAAGTAATGGAGTTTGCTGTTACTATGACCTGTGGCGTAACATTGAAAGATTTTGCATGATGCCTTGAAGACATATGAAATATTGTTTTTTTTTTCATCTCTTATTTTCAGTACTTTTTATCTATTAGGGTTAAAAATACTGTGCACGGACATATTCTTTCACTTGAAGAAAAATAGCATACCTCGTAAGATCCTGGGTCGTGATCAGAGGTCCTACAGACGACTTCCGATGACGTCACTCGTTCAACAGTGCAGTAGTTTGTCCCAATCTTCACAATTGTGCGACCAGCGGTAGGATCAAACCCGCTCCCTTTGATTGACAATTCTGTACCGCCCATGATACTTCCCTCAGTCGGTGTTATACTCGACACTACAGCAAGGGTGTCAATCAAATTTGGAGCTCCGGCCTCAAACATAGCAAAGCCTTGTGTTCCGTGGCGAATTTTCAAATCATGCTTCCCTGCCACAACAGGGCCAACTCGACAAGATGCCGCGAACTGCGACGAGGACGTCACGATACACGGGGTTTCCCCGATCTTTATTTCCAAATCTGAAGCTCCGCTTGGAAGACCAGAACCATATATACGAATAATATTTTCGTCTCCGACTATAACCGAAGGGATCACTGAATCTATTCGTGCGGTTTTTGCATCTGAGTAAGTGAAGGTACAGCTAGAACCACAATTGCTTTCCATTCCATTGACTTTAACCACGACGGGTAGCACCTGTGAAGCTTTTCCGGCAGCTGTTTGACATTTGAGCTGGGTGTAGCTTGATGTTAAAATCTGGCATGGTACTCCGCCCACTTGCACCTCAGGGACGGGAGAGAAACCATCTCCGGTGATGGTCAGAATGGAGCCACCCATCATGGAACCTACCTGTGGAAATACAGTCTGTATTCTTGGCTGAAGAGTAAATGAAGCGTTTTTTCCGTTCTCTACTTTAATGACGGCAATTCCTCTGTTATTTACACGTAGATAAACACTATGCGGTGAACCTGAAAAGATACGAGTGATTAGTGTTTGCCAATAAAGAGTTTTCAGTTTGATCGAATAATACTAAACCACAAAATCGTGTTAATTGCCTGTCAAAAAATAAATTCCCCACACAATAGATGGTTTAGACCCATTATTTGAGAGTTATTCGAGTTTTAGAAAAAAAAATTCTCGTTGGTGTCAGTGGTGCACGTTTCGCCAACATAACCTGAAGTAATCATCAGAATCAAGCAAGGAGTTTCTAAACAACCCAACTGACTAATACTTCTATAAACGTATAACTTCCTACTCAGTTCTGCAGTTGACATTCGTTTCTAATTAAGAACAACGGTTCCATCTAACCTGAACTCAACTGATTTCCAGATGTCACCAGGCAGGTTATTTTATCTTCAGCAGAACTTTGAATCGTACAATAACTAGAACCAATTTTGACCTCATTCTGGCAATTAATGAGTCCAAATCCTTTGCCTCTCAAGGTAAGAAGTGTCGAGCTGGTTCCGCTGTTCGGGCTTATTGAAGTCACTTCCGGTGTACTACACTTCCAGAATTTGAAACTAAACGAAGACTGGTTGCTTGGTAACGGGTCTGTAGGGATGCAATGTGGTATGGCATTTATCACACCTGACTGACAATCAGAGGAACCAGCGACCGGGAAATTAAAAACCGACGAGTTATATAGAGCCAAAACTCCTCCAACTTGCACCTTGACTTCCATAGACTTACTCTTGAAATCATTGACAACAATTTTTCCTTTCATGACAATAGCTCCATATGGGTCTACTGCTCCACTTGAATAAAAGTACGTTCCAGGTAAGTTAAACTTTTGAGTGAAGTGGCCGCTTCCACTGCGGGAGCTCTTAAACCCTTTCCCGTCATACACAGCGCTAGAAGCGTCACTAGTTTGTTGTACACCATAACTCAATCCTGACAGCTCGGGACTAGTCCACTGCCACTGAGGGTTGAATCAGAGTTGTATCAATATCTCGAAATCAATTTTTATGCTTTTCAAAATTCGCTCGGCAGTATTGGCTATGAGTCGTGATCACTATAGTTGCACTGGAGGTGTTTTAGTTCATAATTTCTTAAATACTACAATTAACAATTTACCCTTGATATAAATTTAGCAATTCTACCTTGCAGCTGTTATAAATTATGTTCTACCCTTGGGCTGATCAGGTTTTCTCGATTTTGTAATCTCTTGCATCCTCTGACTGTTGGTCAACTCCGTTTGAAGCTGTAGAATTTCCCTAAGTTTAGACGTTTCATTATCAGCAGAAACATTATTTAGTGGAATATCTGAAAGACTTTTCGTTACCTTAACAAAGTCACCAGCGTTGATCGTAATCGTCTGTGGATTCCAGGCGTATCCAATTCCGTACTCTGCCAAACAAGAATAAATTAAATTTAATTCAAAGGTTGACCGTTGTCAGATTAACACCAACTTTCGTAACAACTGATTCACAGTTCTCTTTCACGGCATATCTCTCAAAATGCTTAACGCACACTTAAAAAGACGATAAATCTGCAATCATCAGGGCTACATGGATCTAACAGTAGATGTAAAAAGATCTCCCACTGATATAAAATGCACCCATCGTCAAGTTATTAGGCAAATCCATTAAAAGCAAACAGCAGAGTTCACTTACCAGGATGAAGTCCAGTGTTGTCTACATAGAGAGTAACAGATGAAGCGTCAGTCTTACAGAGTATTTCCGTATTTCTGCTCGACAAAACTTTACAAGGAACGTCGCCAATATTTATTGAAATAACTGAAGCATTGTCACTGAAGCCACGGCCAACCACAGTTAGGACAGTTCCTCCAAAGATCGAGCCATGCGAAGGAGATACACCAGTCACTTCTAATACGTATTTAAACTTGGGAGGCCTGAAACCCATGGTTGCATCAACCGCACAGCCCTTTCCATCTACACAAATGAGAACTTCATATGTCCCTGGAGCATTTGCGGGAGTGGTGCATTTTATCAGAAAGTTTGAATACAAACTCACGTCACATGGACGAGAACCTATTGTAATGGTCCCTTTTTGAACCCCAAATCCACTTCCCTGAATAAAAATTTCTGCACCGCCACTGACACCACCCTCTACAATACTCATCGATGAAATTAGAGGGGTGACTCCTGAGTCGTACCAGAAAGCATTTGACAATGTTCCAATTTTTCCATCGATAGCGACAGTGATGCTGGCGTTACTTACATCGTGGGGTGTCGTGACACAGGATATTTCGGTCAGGTTAACGCTGAGTATGCTACAAACAGAACCACCGATTGTCACACTACCATTTTCTGGCATCAAACCAAATCCATCACCTGCTATAACAACATATGTTCCTCCTCCAATACTTCCTTTGTTTGGCTTTATCCCGCTCACATGAACTTCGTAAGTAAAGCGGATCTGTCCACTTACGTGCTTGGCAAAACCCTGATTTCCAATTTTAACAAAAACATCGTGCGATCCACCGGACGACTGGCCTGCGGTGCACTTAATGGTGGTTTCACTAATACTTGTCACGTGACAAGGAGCTTCACCAATAGTGACATTGACTTCCTGTGCATTGGTAGTGAAACCATTTCCGGTTAATGTTACTAGCGTTCCTCTAGTTCCGCGTTGTGGAGATATTGAAGAAAGAGATGGAGTAATCGAAGAAGAAAATGTGAAAGAACAATTTCTATTGAAACAGCTTGACGGAATGTTGTTAAACGTGACTGTCACCTAGAAATAAAACGAGCTCACTGTCAGTCAGAATGTTGTTAAACGTAACTGTCTCCTAGAAATAAAACAAGCTCACTGTCAGTCATGAAATGGCATCTGGCTACCTCTTCTTACAATGTCAGTAATGCGTGTTTCTAAACTTATGCCGAGTTCAATAAAATCAGTCATATGCTTTACATTTTGTCCTTCATCTCCTGAGAAACCAATATGGTTTGCTGTTTGTTGATTAACTTTCTCACTTACAGAAATTTTGCTCAAAGCCTTTTTATCAAATTTTGATAAAAAATGTCACTTGATCCACTCAAAAACTAGCCTGACTGGCTTTTTCCTCACTAAATGCTCGTGGCAAGCTTTTTGGGGTTCTGGTTTCTTTCCTGTTTAGAACTAGTGCTTACCTGAGGCTTTCTTTCAGCTACACGCAGCATATCACCGGGGATCGGCCTTAAAAACAATCCTCCGTCATCTATTGTAACAGCTTTGATTGACACATTGTTTCCTGTCAGGCCGTTTCCATCGACTACTAAAGCAGGCTGATCTCCTCCTGTGGTCGCCCATTCTATCGTCCAAGAATACGACGCACATGTCCCAAAACCACTGACGCTGACCTTACCGATATTAAAATTGCTTTCCAGAGTGGACTTGAGTTGCTCTGCCGATATATTAGCAGGAATGCCTGACGAAAGAGATGGATAAGGCAGAGGGCAAACGGAATACTTTCAACGTAAGAAAAGTTACCGCAGGAAACAGAATGTTTATCACACATCATAAAAAAACGGAGATACTATGAGTGCCCTGATTTGGTAAAAAGCCTGTCCTTTATTGCACAAGTAAATCGCTTTCCTCCGGCTCGTAATTTACAAATTTTCTTCGCGTTCTTCCAACGCCCGCTTAGGTTGTTACGCCGGTTAACTGATAGATGGATTTTGCAATCAGTTTCATCAGAATTATGAAGTGATCAATAGACCAAATCAGACTACAAAACTGCCGCACAGTAGGCAAAAATCGACCGTAAAGCTAACACGTAAGACAACAAACATCGAATTAATTATCAACTAGTCCTTAAAACTAATTAAAGGATAGAAAACAAGTACATAATTACCTGTTACTCGATAATTTTCAAGGAAGATGTCGAAAGTCCCTCCCACTGGAGGAGTAGCAGCTTGACCATGTGACACAGACATGCTTGTGTCCCCAGTGGAGTTAGTCGGTCTGAATACCGCCTGGTTAGATGTGGTGTTACCACTGACCAAAATTGCATCTGCAATCTGCAGTAGCTCAATACCAGTTCCGCATAATGAAGGAGTCATCGAGACAGACCAAGCACTCGGTCCAAGACTCCGCACATCCACGGATTCTATGATGTTTCCCCCTGGTTCGGCAGGGTGAAGAAGTCTTTGTACTAAAGTAGAAAATGAAGAAAGCATACTTCATAGTCTTTCTTACCTTTCCTTAAAATAAAAACGTCGCTAAAGTAATTGATAAACCACTCAAACTTACCTAATACTGGCTCACTCCATATGAAAACGTCGTCGATTGAAATATCCGCTTCCAATTCACGAGACACCTTGACAACCTCAATGTATATCTTATAACGTAAATCAGCCTTTACATTTGTATCAAGTAAAACCCTATCATGAACATTCATAGACAGTTGATGCCATTTTCCATCCGAGATAGTCATAATGCTGTACTTCCTCCAGGACTGTCGATCAGCGCCAAACTTGTCCGTGTATGATATCCGGAAACTGATAAAGTCTTTCATCTTTCCTTTATATGAAAAACAGAGCTGCCGAAAGATAAGTCAGATTTATATACTTGTGGAGAACTCAGACTACAAAATGACATCAAAGGCTGGTTCACACTATGTCACAAGCAAGAGCATGGACTTAAGGCAAGAAAATTTTATGTGCGAACCGACAGACGTGGAAAGAAAGCCTTTTGGTTCCTTTGCTCAAAGATCCTACAGATAAAACTGTAGCAACCATGTAGGATTTGGTTTTAACAAGCCATGTTTACCATTTTACCTATTTTTCATTGCAGCCACATCCAAGAAGAGTGTTTCTTAAATTTCAAGTTTAGTGGTAAAAAAAAGCCAGATACGTACTTGTTTATACCGAGCAACTTCGTAGCCCTGTAAGACTCTCCCGAATTTGTCCTTAGTCTGGCCACCTAAAAAAATATACTTGGGATTCTTCAAAGAAAACCGACCGCAATTTGCTGTTGGTTTTAACACTCGTTCACCGTATTCAGGGCCCAAGGACGGAATTTCAAAACCGTTATAATAATAGGCACGGTCTGGAGGTATCTGATAGCTACAGTGCCAGCCAATCATATCTAGGAGCTGTTGTTTGACGTCATTTTCTGTTGCATTCACGTGGATGTTTTTTGATATTCTTCCAGCGAAAGTAAGCTTCCAGAAGTAGTTACCCGGGACACCTGAGAGAAATGGAAATGGACTCACTAATTAACAGTATCATATTGTAGTAGACTCGTAGGTAGAGAAGACTGGATACGAGGATGGATCGAGGCGGGGTGTCATGGAAAGGCGAAAGAAAAAATTCGGCTTTTGTTTACCCTAATCATATCTCCTTTAAAATCTCAATCAAACGTAGGTAAAAAAGTTTCGAAATTTCTGCAAATAAAAACAAACAAGAAAAAAGAATTGAAAGAATAAAACAGGGCTCATTGAGTCCAATTTACTTGGATACTTAAGAATGTTTTTGCAGTCTTAGATGACAGCCTTAAAAATTTGTTGACAGTAAGGTCTTCAACTTGATGCCATAGTTATGAGACGTTCCGGTGCTTACCTTTCTGTAATCGTATGATATTAACCCATGTCACATTGGATCGCAACATCTTTGTGTTTTCGGGATCCTTGAAGAGAAAAGTAACTCGGTAGAAAGTGGACTTGTTGCTGGCAACTAGTTCAGTTACATTAACTTTTCCTTGTTTCCTGATAGTTGTGAGATTGTTAATTGCGCGCTGAAACGTTTCAGCGGTCATAATGTTCAGCGGCAATGGAGCAGTATTGTCTCCATCGTAACTTAGAAAAAATACTTCCTCACGAAGTGTGTTATTTCCTGAAAGAAAAGAAATAATTATCAGGAATATTCATAATATAACTAAGCAAAGCTGATTCCTTGTATCAACTAAATACGTCCATCAAGCGCGTTTTTAGCCAGCTTACCTTTGGTTTGGTTACAAGACATGATGATATTCACGACCTGCACCTCAAACAACTTCCCGTCATCCCAGCTGGTAATGTTAATCACCTGGAAAGGAACAAAGTATAGAAGTCAGAAATTAAAAGCACCGTGCCATTGCAGTAAGCTAAGTTCAGATTTAGAGCAATTATGTCTTACTTGTTTCTCCGGTCGTTTCACTGACTTCAAGAGAATTTGTTGCTTCTCGTTTACTGCCAAGCCAGTTTGTGAGTTCGCGTGACGCGTGTTCTGGATTTTGACTCCGATCATTACATGTGACTTTCCGCTAACAGCTTCCAAGTAATAATGCTGACCTTTTCTCAGAGAGATTACCGCCGACTTCTGCTGTGGAAATTCAGACCAACTGGCTGACGGCTTGAAACAGGACGCAATTTTCGTCTAAAGAAAAGATACGAAATCATGGTGTACAATCATGAAACGTTGAAATAATTTTAACCCTTTACCAAGGACTTCCGGTACTGCATGAATCTAAATCAAGTTGATCTTAAGACACAAACTTTAAGGTTGTCTGATTTTGATCACAAAAAATGGGATGGAAATGGCACATAAATAAAACTCAATCAATAAGCTTCTAGCTTTTGTATTTTACAAGCGTCTCCATATAACTTTCGTGAAATAACTAGAATAATTAATTTTGTGGCAAGTAACTGGCATCTAAACTCCAGTACAGTATGCTGAAGGTATTTTTATTAAGCAACAAGCGAAAAAAGATCACCGGGCAGTAGACCTCGAGAGATTTCCAGAACATCCATCTTCGTAGCTTTAGAGGATACAACCTTCTTTACTTATTTATTTATTTATTTACATAATTTTTATCAATTTTATTTAATTATTTATTTATTTACCTTAGCCTTGGCAGATTCGTTAATACTGAGGTACAACTCGGCCCTATGATTAGTTTGGATAAAAAAAGTGTAGTTATTGTCCGATGGTGGCACAAAGAAGCCTCGCAGTCGGTCACTGAATGATGTTGAACTTGCTTCGGGTAACACTTCAGATGCCATTTTTCTCAGTCCTCCTCCGTATCCTGATACGGAAAACGAACTAGTATGGTTCCACACTTCACGTAATAGGCCACGATTCCCTGTGAAGTTAGGTCAAAATGATGTTTGTAAACGCCCTTGGGTGGCTATTGAGACTGGGATACCTTTCATATATTATTGTACCCTCAGTGTGGATACAAAAAAGGCTTCATTGTGACGTGCGGATCACAATTTAGGAAAAATTTCTCACCTGCGTAAAACTCAACGTTATCTGCCGTAGATTGAAGGGCCTCATTTGTCTGACATTTGATGATGTCTTTTTCTATTGATTGTATTTCACAAGGTACCCCTGATGAACACAACGAAATGAGGAGGTGAACGGATATAACACAAAATCCAATTCGCGTCGCATGCTGGAAGGAAAAAGTCTTTCTGGCTGCTGAAAGGAGTTACGTCAGAGTTTGTGCATCTTCACGAAGTTAGCCTTGCTTTTTACGGTTTAGTCCTTTCATCCAAATTTTCTATACGACATATATTTCATGAGAATTGACAAACTAGGACGGAATTGGTTTTCTTTTTTCTTTTTTTTTTTGAGTTTACTGAACGAACGAGTGGAACGCGGCACGAGCGTTGATGAAAACAGGGTCGCAAGGGTTGACACCACTGCCTTTGAAACCTACTCATGTCATTAGTGTGTTCTTCGCTGTTGAGATCGCATCGAGCTAGAGGGTAATCCAAGAGTGTATAGAGTGTATAGTACTCACTCCAAGCCCCTCCCCTCCCCTTCCATTTTCAGAGCGACTTTAGCGACATTCAATTCCCCAAGGCCAATCAGACGACCCAACAACCTTCGACTCATAAATGCATATGAATACACACGTCAAGAGTACCTGCTACTTCAACTGAAACCTTATTCGCGGTCTCATCAAAACCTTTGCCTTTTATTGTAAGAACTGTTCCTCCCGCTGTGCTGCCAACAGCCGGGCTGACATGAATAACATCTGAAAATAGAAATTTAAAGTCACCTTGATATTAGTTTCACTATCAATGTTTTTAGCATTCTTTCCCATATGAAGTCAGAATCTTTTTCATTAGGTCATTTATCGTACCTGCATGAGTTTGGAAAAGGTAAAGTTTGTCCTGGGAGTCAACTGAAATGACATCTTTAGACATCCGGGATCGGCCATAACCGGACACCAAGAAGGAAGCTCTTTCCGATCCTGCAAGAAAGGGAAATAACCTTTAATTATATTTTTTCTTTAAACTGATCATATTTCTTTCTACAAGACAACGGCGGTAAAATTTAAGTAACAAACCATTATTATTTGGATGTGGGCATGCCTTCCATATCATTGTCTATGAAGCCCATTCTTCCGGTTTTCGCGTTCCTGAGAGTATTGGTAAAAATAATTCTTACCTATCATTGGTGAAACAGGTTTACATTTTATGTAACCCGTCTTGGCGTTTTGGTCTTCTATTTTCATTCCATACCTAAACATTCAAGAAAGAAAAAAAACAAACACCTTTTGAAACTTGTATTCAGTACTTCACAACTCAGTACGAGACATCTATGTGAAATCATACACATCCTGATTTAAAGCTTGGACGTGCACGGTTGACTTACAGTTGGTCTGTTTCTGGATCTTTCGCCTCACACAAATCCGCACCTGCAAAAATCCTGCAAGGAAAAATAAAAACACGGTTAAAAAGTTAAGGATCGGATGTGCCTGACAGATAAAAAATTAAATACTCAAAGTAGAGAGCATGGATACATCTAAATCACTTCGAATTTTCATTGATAACAAGAAATCCTGCCTTAAACACTCAACCATAAATGTTTTTAGTGAGTGTTATGAAATCATTTTAATGACCCGTTTAAATTTAATCCATTGAGAGGAACCTTGGCATACTGCGCAATGTCTTTTTCTGTCAATTTTCGATTCTGGAACAAAGTAGCTCGGTACCTTTTTGCTAGCGTCTAAATTAACATAATTTTATATAGTTAAAATAATGCAGATGCTCTTCACCGCGGTAAGGAGTCTAGTAGCAGAAGCCTACTTTGAGCTCCGTCTGTACCTTTCAATTGAGGGTAACTCTGGGTCAAAGCTCTCTGTCTCAATAACTTGATCTGTAAACATCCTTCCACGAATTTCCAAAAGTGATCCTGTCGTGAAACAGTAAATTTCAAATATTCCTGTAAGTTGTAATGAAAATACCTTTACAGTAAATTAGAACACGATTTGACCGGTATAGGAACAGAAATTTCGAATACAAGTATTTACTTATCAAATCGCCAATAAATATCGTTTACAATATACCAATTGTTTATTTCATTAAAGAAACAGCTTAAAAATATCGGACTTTCATTGGTTCTGGGAAAAAATACTTAACTTTAACAGAAACATTGTCCCAAACGGAAATTTTATTTATTCTCTTATCAGTGTAAAGTCTAAGACATCACTTCTTTCAGGGGCTGTTCTTGTTAAACAGAGAGGACTTGATTCTTTCGGATTAATACTGACATTTTTTACTTAGCAACCCTCTTCAACAGAATTCAGTGGCACACCGTTAAAAACGGCTTCCGTTGCTGTTTAGTAGGAGCATTGTAAAGTTATTATCTTCCAGCCTAACAGAAAGAAACTGTTTTTCGTGTAAGCGTTTTTTTTGAAGGACTTGAATGGGTTTATTGAAAAATTTTAATTGTTCCAACTATTGGGAAAAGTACATGCGACCACACGCAAAGCAGGATATTACAATTAGTTCAGTCATAACTCCTAAATATAATGAAAGCCATCTTGTAAACTGATAATTTAAACAAAACAATTTCTACTCGTTTGCTCTGTTTTTGATCGATGACATGTATCATCATTATCTATTTTTGAGAGCTATGAAATGTCATTAATGTCATCACCTACCGCTGAAACTATTTGAAACTACGCCGAAAGCAACGATTATTGCAGCTCAATAAAATACAAGCATTTTGCATGCATCTTCAATCTTGACTCTGACAGTTACAGTCAAGAAAATGTGTGAGTGACTCATTTAATTGGACAAAGTAACACGGACAGAATAGTTTTTTTTTCCTAAATTTGGGTGCTACCTCCTGTAGAGAATTGCGGTAGCATACATTCACTTGTTTATCTAGTTTTGTAAACAATTATGGCCACACGAGTAGGGGAAAGAAATTGGAGGAAAAATTAGTCTCAACGAGTTTTGACGTTCACCGAATATTGTGCAAAGCAACGATTATTGCAGCTCAATAAAATACAAGCATTTTGCATGCATCTTCAATCTTGACTCTGACAGTTACAGTCAAGAAAATGTGTGGGTGACTCATTTAATTGGACAAAGTAACAAGGACAGAATAGTTTTTTTTTCCTAAATTTGGGTGCTACCTCCTGTAGAGAATTGCGGTAGCATACATTCACTTGTTTATCTAGTTTTGTAAACAATTATGGCCACACGGGTAGGGGAAAGAAATTGGAGGAAAAATTAGTCTCAACGAGTTTTGACGTTCACCGAATATTGTGCAAAAGAAAATTTCACGAATCCAGGGCAATTATAAAATATAATTCTACAATTAAAGTTTGAATCTCATTTCTCTTTTTTTATTAGGAGGGTTCTATGGTTTTCACTCCTTTTGCGATTAAATACTTGCTACTTGCCATTATATTACTATGGGAGCTGTGAACATTGTTTTTCGTGGACAGTTTCGGTTGGCACGTTACAGAAGTAATAAATTGATAAAAAGTTCTACGTATTCAGGGGCCGGCTTTCCAGTAGAGCACTGGTGTTTTTATTGAGAAGAACAGAAGAGAATATAAGGAGTTCAAAAGTCACACAGGTAACTCACCGAAACATCGTCGTTGTCAACAGGGACTTAAAATGGATATATTACCATAAAGTAAAAATTGAACGCTCACCAAAAATGTCTAGAGCTAAAATAGGTTATGAAAGGGGAGAGCGCAAATTGTAATGGGACAAATTTAATGATATGGCAAAAAAAAAATTGAATTTTAACGATGAAGCTTGATTGGAACGCTTTTTCCCCCACCTTTCCACACTAAAATCGGATTTTAAAGGCATCGTTGATATTTTAACTGTTCTAGGGAGTATGTCGACAACGATTCGTATCTCTACGTTCTTAGCAGTCTTTGCCATTTTCTTTGGCCAATCGATGTCTTGCGACTCTGCTCTGCCATCAGGTAAGGACTGGGCTAACGATTGGGACTTGCCGATGAATTTCGAGTGCGAAAACGGTGAGCAGAAACTTTTTCTTTCGTATTTTAGCCATTTCTCGTCGGTGTTTATTGGCATATAACTTCCTCCAGAATGGGGATGTGAGGTTGAAGCCAGTGTTCGGTCTTTTTATTCATCTTGTTTTATTTCAAACCGAAGAACTTAAGTTCATTCTAATGTCACTTCACACGTATGCAGGCAACGCAATCACTTCGCTGTACAGTTTCTGGCTGGGCTGTAAAAATGATCGCATCTGGAGCTTGGAATGTGGTGCTGTTGGGAAATTCAACAACGAGAAAAAGTGTTCGCTGACCGCGGAAGTAAATGAGTGGGATGGGCCACTGTTCAAAATGTGCGATGGCAACGGCTATGTGGGCGGATTGTCCAGCGTACATGACAACGGCAAGGAGGACCGAAGGTAAGTATAAACGCCAAGATTTTATCACAAAGGCCAAATGACCTCATGGGGTCTCACCACTACCCACCCCTTTTTGGCAAGAAAGGGGGAGACCTTGGTTTAGGCTGGTAAAGTGTCTAACGAATTTCAGCAGACTACAAATCAACAAGATGGGACAAAGGTTAAGGGAGGTAAGAGCCTGGAAACGAGGAATTACGTCACACGACGGTGACACACTAGCGGATAGAAATCAGAACCTGAATGTTTTTGATTAATAATTGATAAGAGGAATTGTAGCATACCCCAGTGGGTTTTATATTGGTCGGCTTCAGCTGGTTGAAGTATTCAACGCGGAGTTTTATCGCGTGCTGGCATAGTTTAGACTGTTTAAAAAACTCCTCAATTATTTCACTGCAATCGTACAGGTTCAAGGTTCTATGTTGTAAGTCACCCAATCACCGAACAACTGATTGCTACACCCAGATCTTGAATGACTTCCGAGCTGTTATAGATTACACGGTGCCAGAAGACCATGTGATAGTTGGGTTCTACAGCTATCACCGTAACGATAAAGAGTATGTATAATTTTCAGAGCCAATTCCTCATTTAGTTTATGCTTATGGTGCTATTGATTGTTAAGTGCGATCAATTTCGACTCTACTTCATGGTATTCAACATTTTTAAAGGTAAAAAAAGCACAGTTCTAACCAAGCTCTCACGTCAGCAGCAGTTTGAAAAGTTCATAAAAAAGAGTCTAAATGGGTTTAACCGTTAGCCGTGAAACAGCATATTATTTAGCCGTTAGGCGTAAAAATTGGCAGTTTTCAGCCGTTAGTTGTAAAAAGGGTTAACTGTTAAAATTCTTCTTTTATTTGCAATGAAAAGAAGTTAAACAATCTTTAACCGTAGATTTACCAAAATCAGTTTTAACCGTTAGCCGTAAAAGCAATCGCCACATTAAGACCCTCAAGCCAGAACGTATTTTTCTTGACGATAAAAGAATTGTTTAATTATGTTTTCTTTACAAAGTACGAACTCAGTGGTTACCACTGGCCATAAACTTTTCATTTTTATGAATTTCAGGGACCGTGCTTGGCAGGCCCGTGTTTGCCGTGTGCGAAAGATACGCTGAGCATGTTAATCGACGATCAAGGCAATTGACACGACGTCATGATTTATAAGACATTGGTGCAGGGATCAAGGATGAATAAAGTGTAGGGTTTCTCGAAACAGAAAAATAAAAGTATTGTAAAGGAACCAGTTTCTCGTTCTCGTTCTCCTTTCTTTTAAATAGTAATTCGCTTGATAATCATAGTAATCCAATTTACAAAGATACTCTTTCGAAACTGAACTACCTCTCTCGTAGTCTAGTGAAATGCCTACTTACGGTTGTTTAATGGGGTGGACTTTCAACCATCAAGTGAGCAAAAATTTATCGATCGTACAACCGTGAAAAATTCTCGATTTTTGTATCTAAACGTAAATAAACCCAGTCACTGGCTAGCAGGCAATTTGGAGACTAAGATTTTTTTCTGTCTCGAAGTTGAAATATGAGTAAACTGATGGCAAACTTGTAGTTGTAAAGGTATTTAAAAAAAAGACGTGTTTTGTGTGACGTACCAACACGGCCTTCATTATAGATATAAATCTTTGTGCATTTCTTTCCTCCTCTGCAAAACAACAACGTGAATTGACCAAACTTTGCGTTGTCTGGGAAACGTCAACGAGGACGGCTAATTTTTTAAATTTCTATATCCAATTTAACGCTGTATTCCACATTCAATTTCGAGATAGTTTTGGCAGCGAAAAACAAACTAAATTGCTATAGAGTATCACGAGATTTATTGGTAAAATATAATTTCATTTTTTAACCGACGTTGTCCACGGCGTCACCGTCGTCGTTTCTGAAACTCCATATTACCAGCTGAAGCAAGCATGTAATTTTTTGTGGTTCTTTTGGGGAATATCCAAGTTGAATTTGCCATCGTAAAAGCTCTCGATAAACTTTCATTCCGAAAAATTTTCCATCAAATGGCCCTTGCTTTAATAATCGAAACGTTCTATTCTTAACCACCAACTGTCAAATAACCTGTCTCTTTAAAATACTCCGGAATTGCTGAAGTAGCACAGGTTAGAGATGCTGCGTTTAGTACGAGCTTCACTGACTGTGAGTCACCAACAACGTTTTCACGGACTTACTATAAAGCCTGTACCATTAGGAGTCCTTCGTGTATGTAAATGATTGGTACGATAACTGGTCACCAGGCTAAACTCAACGGGAAAGAAAATTATCCAGTAAATAAACTGAAAAGTGTTTCAATAGAAAGCGAACAGAAAAATGTAATGCTTGGTCATTAAATCATATGTAGTATTTGTTCGAGTTCAGTCCCTCACACCACTGCAGCAAAATCTTCAAGTTGTCCTATTTTATGAAATAACTTGATATTTGGGTCAAATAAACGACCCTCTTTGCTAAATAACCTGAAATTTAGGTCAAATGTACGACCTTCTTTTCAGCCGACATCTGGCTGCAGAAGCGAATCTTTTCACACTCAGGAATGTCAAGCGCTATGGTCGAAGTTATCAGCTGATACACTCAGAGACGTCATATCTGATGGTAATTTGAAACACCTAACCATTGATGCCAAATTAACAGATTAAAGTCTCAAAACGCTGAGTTAAGACATTTAACCTTTAAATGAAATACCAGCATATGACATGGTGTTGTTTTCTTTGTGAGGAAAATGCAAAAATTAACTTAACTCTTCTGTACAGGCGAGTTCCCTTTAGTCTAAATCATTGCACCTGTGCCTAAATTCTCGTCCCAACGTGAGGTTTTAAGAATAAGAGCTATATTTGAAATTTTTTTTCCAGTAATTTGCGCTGTTTCTAAGCTTGCATAAATTGATAGTTAAATAAAGTGACATGTCTATAGTGACGTAATCAGTGATTATGTCTGAGTGGACATGATATTCCAACGCATACCTGAAATTAATTAGACGCCACTCGGATCATCTCATAGTACACTCACCTGGTAATCCATATTTCGGTGTTATTGAGGTAATTGTTGGTGTCTTCGTCTCGCTGTACTATAACAACAGATGTTTAACGATTTTTTAGCCAAAGGCATCATACGTTCATAGGGCGATTGGCATTAATCAATAAAGTCAAGGCGTGACAATGGAAAATGCTTTTTCTACTTTATTTAAAAATAACTACCTTATATCTAAAACTGATTACTATCTTGTCTACTTGATTTAGAATTATGTCTGCTGCGTAAAGTACAAGTCATCTTGAATTAAAATATTAATACCTTAGCATATCTCTTACCTTAAACAAACATTCTCCTCCGCAATACACATTCTCATCAGTGTTATGTAACCACTTTCCATCCACCGACACTCGTACGTTATAACTATCTTCTCCTGATGGGGAGGGTCTTAAAGTAAGACAAACGTATAAGAAACATACCATTGAGAGAAAAGGAAGTTTGTTCTGTCTTGAGACATAATGGAATTTGTTGAAATGTTTCCGAAATTACTGATTATGAGAAAACCAAGATAACTGAGCATTTTGAAGTTTACTTAAGGGTGTTAGCCCCACTTCGGGCTTGACTTCAATGCAAATTGTGCTGAGGCACCTAAATCGGTTATCCCCCTGCATGGTACAGCTATAGTAGGCACTGTGAAAGGGGAAGTTAAGTTTAAATTTCCAATCTGTAATCATGGACATTATGATAAAAACTGATTAAGATAACTAACCTGTCGTCCTCATCTTCATTTACGAAGACGCTGCCCTTTGGTTATTTTGTTTGTTTGTTTGTTTGTTTACAAGTTTGTAAGTTTGTAAGTTACAAGTTTGATTGATTTTAGAGCAGCATAACCGAAGGCTCATTTGCCTAAATCTAAAAGTTGCGAAATAGCCTTTTTTCAGAATGGAACCATAGAGAAGCAATAAAATTGAAATACTGACCGTGTTTGACAAACTATTCGATACGGGGTCGTATAGTACAAGATAACGTCACAAGGTACGACATGGGCGCGAGACAGTGATACAAGGGTGACATTATTACCCAACTCCTTCTCAAACTCGTTGAACTGGTTCTGTGCAAATCCTGAAATAAGCAAGATGGGTATTCAAGAAACGAAGAAAAGATCAACGGTACTTAAACCTTCTTAAATACCAGAAATAAATGAGGTCTGTCCCTAAAAATTTAAAGGTTTTCGTTAGCTATAGTCCATAAAATTTTTCCTTTGATGACAGATGTTTGATTTCCAAGACCACGAATGCACCATATCTCTAAAACGTAATTATGAGAACTTTTAGGGCGAGGCAGTGAGAAAAGGTTTTACCTGCTCGTATTAAAACTACAATATTAGTAAATGGTAAATAAAGTTACTTTAATAGGTGATAGCGAAAACTTCACAAAATATTTGGTCATCTTATTATTCCAGGAACCTACATAAACGAGATATAGAAAGCTTTATCGCAAGGCAGTGTGCGTTTTAAATACAAATTCAATATGAGGGTGAAGTACAACAAAATTTGTACCAATAAGTTATACAACTAAGGAAATGTCACTTATTTCATCTCATTATACGAACGTTGTAGATGCAAATATTGAAAATCAAGATGCATGAATTTACAAGGAAAGAAAATATTACAAATGTCACTTTTTACTTCAACAGTACTTATGCAGCGAAAAGTGTTACGCGTTGATTCAATTTTGCTTTATTAATGGGTTGATTGAACCGTTCAAACTCACTTCGTTTGAAGCGAAGCAACAAAATGGCTAAATCGTAGCTTTCATAGCATACTATCAGATAACGTAAAACCGGGTGGCGTTAAAAATCAATATTTCCTGTAGCCTCTTTTGCCGGGGGCTGATTTCCTCTTCCATTTCTTTTTTTCTCGCAAAGATTTGGATCCATGCCTTGTTGCATGACTCCCTGTTAACTAATTGATTACGCTGACAAGCGTGGAACAAAGCGGGGGCGTTTTCAAAACAACAGGGTCAGTTTTATTCAAAGAACGTGACCATTCTTCGAGAAGTAGGCATAACATTTTGTTATACCTTTTTATTGGTAAACTTTTTCGCCTTGTAATGGGCTTTGAAAAAAGTAGCTCTTCCCTCTCTTTCGTCTGATATAGGCGCAATTTGGAAAAAAACAATTCATTATGCAAAACTGGCTGCATGAGCGATTTCTATTTAATTTGGCACGAATCTTACAGAACGTTTGCATTCAGTTCACTTTCTTGACATTCTTGAGACTCTTACTGACTCTGAAAAATTCCCGTTTGGCCTACTCCTTGCCTACTCCTATAATTTATTATTTGTAACATTCCTAAAGAAGAAAATGCACAGGCGAATTAATTGGGCTCCAGTAATGAAATTTGAACACCTCTAATAGCAGCTTATCCCACGCCGGTCTAGTGCCGCAAAATGAATCCTGCTTAGCGAGTTGGCGAGTTTCTCCAAACATGTAACCCCTGACTTAGCGAAATTTCATGAGCACGAGTTAAGTAATAGATTGCTCTCAAAGTATCTGGCAATTTCTGTGTTCGTGAGAGATAGTTGCCTTAAAAATCTCAAAATCAAAACAATTAGTTGTAAGGTCATTTATCTGTCTCATGGCCCCGACATTTATAATCATTCAACTTATGTTTCAGTAGTTCAAAGGTAGTTAAGAGGACTGAACAAAGATTTTCAAGCTGTTTGTCAAAGAAGTTATTTTCCGCGAGTACTTAGCCTTTGCTTGGATATCGCCATAATTAAGATGCAAACTCTGCGCTGATGTCTAAAGGTCTGTGGAACCGGTCATGTCAATAATAAGAACCGATAATGCACACCCGGCTAAAATTCTATTGTTATCCCTCTTTAGATTAAAGTGATATAGCGGTTACCAATACATATTCTAGTCAAACTATTGAGATTTGATGAGAGAGGTTGGGTTTTAACCGTTCCAAATTGTGCTTATTTACAGCAGTTATTTCCTAATGTGACATAGCAGCATTAAGCCGAAATAACTAATGGAAAATGTCTCACAGTAGGCGTGGACTTCCATAAATTTCCCGAGTAGCTTACCTTCTCCATGTATCGTTAATGTTGTTGCTCCGAGCAAACTTCCAGTTGTTGGGGTTATTTGAGTTACACGGCCACCTGAAAATAAGAAAAATAGATTAGCTCCATGTTATGCCTTTCTTCGCATCCAAATCATCTGAGCGGAAAAAACTGGACTCTGTCGAGAATTATAGAAAGTGTTCCTTCGTACCTTGAGCTACAGATAGAGAGAATAAAAGAACTACTACAGACTGAAATACGTCCTTTTTTCGGTTCTTCATCTCCTGGCATTAGCTTTGTCAGCAAAATCGACGAGATGCTCTCTTGAGCAAAGCTGTGAGATGTCTCCTTCGGATATCGCTTTTGCTGTTCAGTTAATCGTTTTAAAAACGTGATTCAAAGATTGACAAGTCGGTTGCAGCTTAGTGAGCAATTAACACGCTGTGGCGTAAAAGGTCAGATCCAACTGTGCATTGCACTTTGATTGTCAGACTTCTCTCTGAAGGTCTTGTCCCAATTACTCAACTATTGAGATACGAGTTAGATACCCCTGAGATATTTTTGAAGGATGTTTACATAACGTGTTGGGTTAAATATGATATTGTTTACATAGTGACTAAGGCCGGCCAAGAAACACGAGTTCGTATTTTCATTGGAGTTATGCAAACCATTGGAGTGATTAGAGGACAGATGAGTTTTTAGTGATGTCATTGTGTCAAACTCATTGATATGCTCAAGACGTTAAGTGCACCTAAGTACCCCATTAGCTTAAGAAAATAGAAAGAACGTGGTGTAGCGATAGACTAACGACGTCTTGGTTTGCAGGTGTGCCCTGGCGCACGTAAATAAACGATCGCAAAAAGGACGCGCAAATTTTGAACCGTGCAAAGAATACATGTACACACTGAATTAGTTGGAAAAGTCTTTTGAGTGTCATCAAAAATTGATTAAGATCAGTGTAGTTTGATGTCCTCAAAGTGGAGAACAAAAGAACTGCATTAGGTATGAAGTCTGACAGCATCACAATGATGACGTCACCACCACAGAATTCGAATTTATTCGGAACACAGTTTCGTAATCTCTGTGTCACTTCTGCGGCTTTGTAAAAAAAAACATAAAAGCCATCTTTATCTCGTCTTAACAACAAGGTTATTTAATGAATACGAAAGCGATCTTCGCAGTAATGAACACTACTTAAGCAACTCACACATATAACTTTCATATATTCACAGTCTTTGATTCATCACTTCAGGAGTTTATTACAAACCAACATAAAAACCAGCTCCCAGTTAGCTTATTAGCTCAGTTGGTAGAGCACTGAACAAAGGAGATAAGTTTCTAAAGACGTTTCGAGCGTTAACCCATCGTCATTCGCTCTAACGAAGGGCTAACGCACAAAACATTAGCTTTAAAACTCTTTAAGGTGGCCAATTTACAATATCAACTCAGTTGATAATACTAAATTACCCTGGTAGAGCACTGCACCGGTGCCGTAGAGGTCATGGGTTCAAATCCCGCACAGGCCTAAATTTTGTCTTAGGTCTTATTTTCACTACTGCCTAAGTAGTGTTCATTACTCTGAAGATCGCTTTCATATTCCTTTCTTAAACCGCAGTTCACATACATGACTTTCGTATATTCACAGTCAAGGTTATTTAAATCTGCGTATGGAATTTTATCTCTTAATCATGTTTAAGCCGAGAAATAAGATTTCCAGAATACGAGAGCCTCCAAAGTGGGGCTTTTGCTAATTATCAAGTCATAAAGGGATTATTTTTCCCCAAATCTTGTTTGAAATAAAACGCATTTACCTGCAACCACAATCACACGGAAATTTTGACATCTGTCTAAGACTAGAAAGAATGCGAAAGGCAGTAGCTGATGCTTTGAAAACTTTTTCCGTTGTAATTACGTCATGCATGCATTATGAGTTAGCAGAATGATATTTTACTATCTATGAAGAACTTCCATCACTGAACCAGACACTGGCGAGTGTGGACAAAAACATAAACTTTTACTCTATAATCATTTAAAAAATTATTTTTATAAGATAAAAGAATACCTGTGAAACGACCTCAAGTACGTCAGCACATGTCGATCGAAAACTCTCTTGTGATGGAAGTCACCCGTAATTGTGTTCATAACACGCTTACGGTACTAAACATGAATAGGAAAATACATATTAGAGAGCGAAAACTTACAAAGAAACTCACAGTAAAGAAAAATTTTTACCTTAACGGTGCATAGCTTCACAAGCCAAAAATGAAAACGACGGCGCTGCTTCTTAAAAAGTAGTAAACATTGATCCACAGGACTAAATTCATACACAAAACCTCACAAATTATTCCACATAATTACGTAACATTACGCGACAGTACGAACATCAACCACAAGAACACAATACAACAATGAAACTTACAAAATGGATTGTCCCCAAGAGTCAGCGAGGATGCTAACTGTACTTCCAACATTATGAGGTTGTGGGACTGTCTTTTTAGTTTGATCCCACAAACGTCTGGGTCCGAATACTCCACGAACCTATTAAGTATGAAGGTTAAGGAATCTCCATCATCAAAGACGAAACGCTTCGAAGCACTAGCCCTGAGATCAGCCACCAGTAGACTTCTATCAAGACAATATAATGTTCCCTTAATATTCTCCTGATATTATTTCTAATAAGTTAGTCTGGGAGGTTGTTGGGTAAGAATGCTCTATAATTATACAGTTTTTATATTTTATTACAGAGTTTTGAATCCCAATTTTTAAATTTACTTCTCGAGTCTGTGAAAAAAATTCGTAATCATACCTCTTTGGTTCGGGCCTGAGAAACGAGTATGTACAATTGCTCGGTTACTAAGCATTTCAAGATGGCGGATGGTACAGCAAGTTTACTTCTATGATTCATAGTCATGCCCGAAAATGTGGTTCCAAACTTTGAAGACGAGGCATTCCGTTCGTTCATTTTCTACGGAAAATAGTCAAGGGTTAGTGCTAGGACTGGAATACACAGACCGGAAAACAGAAATACATGCTTTGAAGGTAACACAACTAAGCTTTCAATTCAAAATTTTCGTTTGATCGATATGTGGATCTGTGTTACAGTAGCTCGCCAATGCAAACTTTAAGATCAGAAACGATCATAGAAAAACTCATAACTACGACTAGATCAGAGTTCAGTGTTTGGTATTTAAAATCTTGGATACGTTGTAAGAGAGCTCGAGGAGGCTTAATACCTCTTAGTACAGCAATCTCAAAGAAACCAGATAACATACAGCTGTAAACAATATCTACATGCGCAGTTTCATATTCTGTCACTTCATGCCATGTATTTACAGAAAGAAACACCACCTTTATTACTGGAGGAAGGAGTAAGTACAGTATTTGCAACGCATGAAAATGGAGGAATGTCATTGTTAGGGATTTCTCATTCCGGGAAAGGAAAGTCGTGCATAGAGATCAGAGCTTGGGATGTCATGAGCTCACTTGGATTTACTGCAAAGGAGATCCTGGTACAAGACCTTCAGAGGAATACAATCAATGATGGCAAATTTAAGTATGTAGACATACTGATCAAGATTAATGTTGCAAGAGATTATGAGGGTGGATGTTGATGACAGGGCAAAGCCTGAATTAACATTTACATTAAAAAAAAACACAACACTATGGCTTTAGTCATTTTTCCACACAATACTGGCTTTCTGTATCTCTCTACAACAAGGAATTAAAAAAAAAACTTTGCAATTTATATCTGCTAAGTAAGCTGGGAACATAATTGGCAAGACCAGTTAATCACAGTACAGTAAATGTTCATAAAAAAAAGGCCTTGAAAGCAACAACAACACTCCTCTTTTAAAATGGTTATAAAATACTGAAAATGGCTTTAGAGTGTGACCTAATGATCAAAACTTTCTGGAGAGGATGCCCTCTTAGACCCCCTCCCCCCCTTCTTCTCCATCCAATGCCCAGCCTCTCAGGGTTGAGCCTGTAGTCCACTACAATTCATATATGCCTCAATCTGTACAACCTCTTGGCTCCATCACTTCAAAAATTAGCTAAATTTGTTTGTGTGGCCTGCATTTACATTTACATAATGTTTCCCTTTCTTACCTCATCAAAGCGACTGGAAGCATATATTCAAGTAGTACCCAGATAGCTGGGTAAAGCCACCCAAAAAAAGGCTTTTTTTGATGTCAAAACATTATAAAATTTTAATAATGTCTTGGTACCATTGACTGTCTTTCATAATACACAAACATTGGGTTGTATACAATATAACGTCTAGAATATTAGTAAAGTTGCATTCTATCTCTTTTTATTATCTTTAGAGCTATTATCAGTCTTCCAGAGAGCTTAGGAACACACCTTTTTCTTAAGATGGCAGTTCTGAACAACTTTGTATCACTAGCTGTATCATCAGGATTGATAATTTTATGGAGATGTAGAAAGGTACATGTATAGTTTTATATCATATGTTATTATGTGCAGACCTTACTAGTTTATAGGTTATGTTAAACTAAGTGTATATTCTTTCTTTATATTGTTTCACACAAAATGATTTTAGGAAAACAGAATTTACATGTAGGATATACATAAATGCGTTATTTTAAATTTTACTCATCAAGAAAATTATGTGTCAAAGTTTTTACTTATAATAACTCAGAGATTCTTTAAGAGCTAATTACGCCATGCCAAAAAAATGTGCTCAATTGTGGTAAGAATGTAGAGATTACATGGCATCACTAGGTTGTGTTTTATCATTACATACCTATTATAAATGAACTAAACTTGTAATTCTGTTATGATAAAGCATCCGTCTCAAGAACTGTTGACAGAGCCACTAATGTCGTACATCCATCAATTTTTAACTTCCCCCCCATGGGCCACCCTCTAGGCATCTGAACTTTTGAAGATTGGTTTGTTGAAATTCCCCTCCCCCATCCCTTTGGGCATGGACCATGGTTGAATGCCAGTGGGTTACCCAGGAGGGGGAGTGTTTAACTTTCAAACTGAATAGCACATAAGATGAAAACATTTTTTTCCCTGTTATTCTGTACAGGTGGAGAATCAAGCAATTAGCCTTGAGCTAGTTTCTATGATGACATCAGCTACAAACATTCATGATGTAGCACTGGTTTTTGATGAAAATAGCACAGAAAAAGGTACTCTTGGCAGGTTTTTTTATCATTTAAAAAGCAAAGTGGTTTTAATAATTAAAACTTAACTATTGGTTATTAGTTAAGTTACTTAAATCTCAGGTTTTTTTAACACTCAAAGCAAAGTGGTTTTGATCATTAAAAGGTAACCAGAGGTTAAGTTAAGTTACTTAAATCTCAGGTTTTTTTATCATTCAAAAAGGAAAGTGGTTTTGTTAATTTAAACCTTACTAGTGGAGAATACTGGGGCAAAGGGGTTTTTGTTTTTGAGAGGGAATGTTAAGAAAGAGAAGTAAATTTTATGTATTCTTTACCTCAAAAGAACTTAGTTAAATGTCAAAACCCATGCCATAATTTAATGCATGAAATAGAAATCCAAGTTATTTTGGTTTATACAACTATTTCTTTCATACATACTGAGATTTACACTGTGAAGTACTACTGTATATGTCTCTGATTGGATGAATGATGTATTTTCACATTTATGCACTTCGCACTTCACGGTGTAAATCTCAGTATGAATGAAATAAAATCTTACCAGTGAACAATTGTATTCACAACTTGCAATGCATTGAAAAACTTGTTTATTCACTTGGCTCGCTTCTTTGTTGTTTTGATGCATTGCAACTTGTGGGTTTAAAATTGTTTGTGCACACTTTCCATGGAATAATCTCTCTATAATGTACAGTTTGCATATAATGTAGGTTTATCAGACTGCTGGTGGGAACTTATCATTTTTTCAAACTGTGAAGCAAATAGGGGCATAATGCTGTCACTCCACTTGCATAAGAGGTAGTTTCCATCAAAGGCTAGACATCCTCCCACCCCAAATAGCATTTTTTAGACTGAAAGTGCCACAATTGAGAAAAGGATATGCTTAGAAAATCAATAAGCCATTCAGGGCTGGATCCCAGACCTTTCAGTCCAAAATCACAAATTCTAACCATTATTGCCAACCTATCCAGTTGCTAAGCATATGTTTGAATAGGTTTTGTGAAAGGGACCTGTTCAAAGGGATATCTTAAGATGACCTGCACCTATAGTAAAGATTAAAAAACTTTTAGAAACATAACTCTCTATTATGTTATGCTTATTACAATTCAATGGTAAATAATGGAGGTCATCAACTGCATTATTGAATTACAGGAAATTGGAGCTAAAAGTAGGGGAATTACTAGATGATATGTCAGTAACTTGAATATAGGGAAAATCAAACCTAGTTGTAATAATGTGGTATTATTTTGAATCATGTCAAAAGAAACAAAGGTCAAAAGTGTGGTGGTATAATTTGTTTCAAAATTTACCAAAACCAGTTTTAGATACCCTCAACAGGATTTTCCATGTGTTTGCTTTGGACCCAGTCCATTCCTATTCTTTTAACTGCAGAAGTTCCTTTGCAGTTCTTATTTACTCTATCTTACATTGTAGCTACATGTTGTTAATTGAGTTTTCCTGCATTTATATATTGGGCATTGTGTGTAAGAACTGTTTAATGAAATATCTTCTCAGGTCCCCCATTGTTAGTAGTTGGTGAGTCTGGAGGCATCAGACTTTATTCAGTCACCCAACACACAGGTATGTATGATGCGTTTTTACCCTAAGAAACAGGTTAACATGTAATTAGATCAAGGGTTACAGAAACTGACAATGGTGCCAAAATGGGTAAAATGTACAGGTGTGGGCTCACAATTGTATTATCATCTTTTATCTAACTGATATACATGTGCCAGCTTGTATTTGCTTTTGCTCAATCAGTATTTTTTTGTTTTTCAGATGTAACGTCTGAGGATAGTGACATGAAATTTTCAAGCACACATATTCCTTTCCCTTCATCGGATGTTGGTAACACTGTGCAAGGTTTGAATAAGTATACGAGTTTAGTAAAATTACTATCAGTTTAAATGATAAATGGCAAAGTAACCTAAGTATTATAGAACATCCAGGAATTGAAACACAAACAACGAGATACGATAGCATTCCCGTAGGTCATGAAATATTCTGAGTTGTTTCATTTACCAGTTATACAGCTCTCCAGAACTGTAACATTTCTTATTTATACTGTGCCTCTAGAAATCCAGAGTGTATTGCCATACAGTTGTGTATTGTCTGACAGCTCTGGTCGACTATGGTACCTTCATCCTCTTAATCTGCAAGAGATTCTGTTACCAAGCAGTCAAGGTGGCCATGGTGTTTTTGCTGTCCAAATGAAAGAAGGCCAAGCAGAAGGTAAGGTGATTTTTTTGACTGAGGTACATGTAGCTTGCTATATTTACACCAGGCTTGGCATCACCTAAGGTGAAAGGATCTTGCCAGGAGTAGCACTTAAATGCACATAAGCATCATGTACCTCAGAAATAAATACATTTTCAGAGGGACCTGATGAAATTGCTGAGAAAATCATTACCTTGCAGTAGTGTCAACTCTAAAATGAAACCTGATTCCATGAAAATGTGCTTTGAGTTTGTTGTTGGCTCCCTTCCTTGCTTTTAAGACTTTCTCCAAGTTATATGGTTTTCCTTTTATGACAATATTCAACGCACCAAAAACCAACTATGTGACTGTTTGTTTGTGGTCAGTCAAGTTTGAGGTGCCAGGCTCTTGTGGCTAGGCAAATCACCAATTAACATTTTGAGAGTGAGTGAGTTTTGATTTTGATATCTCAACCACCAAACAGGTCTTAAATTTGAACCCCTAAAACGTTTTGAACTCTCTTCTCCAGGATGGCTTGCAACCGTTGATCAAGGCCAAACTGTTAACCTGTATAAGATGAGCGATGTTATAAAGAAAACAGATGCAGGAGTGATTACACAGCCTTGGCATGTAGTTTTATCACAGCACTGCATTAGCACAATTTCATTCATTGAAGACAATGTACTTGCTGGTGGCTCAAATTCTCTGAAATCCATGTCACTGTGGGTGGGAGTCGACCGTATTGGGTCAACCAAACTGGAAAGTGGCTATACTTAATCTACTGATCCATTAAATTTGTAGGATATTTAGTTTTCTTGTACCAGCAGATTTACTTCATCACGCTTCATTCAAGGTTGTTTATCGTTTTACCATGTCGTCAAGTGAAACATTACGCACTGTTTTTCTTACATAATCCATACATACACCTTGTTTAAATGTGGACATATTTACATTTAGCTACAAGCTTAGTAGAGACATTTCATCAAAATTGCTTTATATGTATCAAAAAATATTATTAAACATCTACATATATTCATATGCTCCTGTAAATCAATTAACAGGTACAATTGCTCATAGCTGCGTAAAAAATTTACTCTTAAAAAACAAATTCATGGTTTTTACTGCTACCCAATTTGGTCGTGCAAGCGTAAGTAACTATACTGTACAAGAAAAACCTCAGGTGGAGTACAATTTATTCCCTTTATACTTCTGGTATCAGACGGTTCCTTTATGTTCAGTTTCAAATGCTCCTCTGTGTTTGAAGTAAGATACAGATGAGAAACCAAATATTACCACATATAGATTTAATTCCAACGACTTTTAAAAATGCAGACAATGAGCTCAGACATTAAAGACCATTTAAAGCTGTTCAAGCTTTTAACCGTCACCAAATAATCGTGCTAGAATGATTGTACTTTTTATAGCTCGAAGTATGACCGTCTTATTTTGTAAAGGTTACTTTTGGAATTTGTCTCTAAGATTTCCGCTAAATATTTACATTGGCTTTTTCATGTCGATTATACGCTGGGCACATCATCTATCACTTTTCGAACACATTATTTTAAACGATTCATTAGAAGTCAATATCCCGGCTAGACATGTACCTTTTCAAAACTGAGGCCTCCCAATCAGCTTCTGCTTTTTTGTAGCTTCCACCAAAACACATCTTATCTACGACCAAACATTTCAAACAAATAAGATACAAATGCTAAAAGGAAGAATTGGAGTCAACAATTTATTAAGTTAATAAAAAGAAGAGTAATTTCATCAGAAATGAGTTAATAATGCTTGACCCTCCAGTTCCCAGCCACTCTTGCACTATCAACTTACACCCCGCCGTCTGCAGAATTGTAAATAATAGTTTTCAATCAAATTATAAAACGCTAAAAGCCTACCTGTAAAAGTGTAAAATGAAGTCATACTTTTAGTGTCTGTCGGCAATTTATTCCAAGCGAAGAACATCATTAAATCTAAATCCCAATAGGTTTTGAAATGCATGTATGATGGGTTACGTCTTACTAACTAGTATGGGGTTTATGAAGAGTTCCTTTGGAGTAAAGCTAAGGAGGACGCGGCCATGCGGGAAAAGTTTTTGGGCCAAGACTTCAAATTCAAGAGGAGCTGGCTTCACCAAAAGAAAAAGGAGGAATTGGAGGAATAGCAAATCAAGAATAACGGGCGATTTTATTTCATCTTTGAGAGACGTGGAATAGAAACAAGTTAATTAAAGGTACCCCCTTTCATTTGCCGTGTAATTGTTTCTAGAGAAGTGGTCAACCAAATGCTGGGTGCCAGTCGATCTAACACATCAAACATAGTAGAACAGATCCCATTGATGAGGAGGAGTCAAAAATACCTTCTGACAATACAAGTGCGCAACGAATGGGAAGGTGCCAGCAAGGAAAAGAGTAAGATTTAAAATACGAAAACAAAGGAACAATGAGGATGGGACACAGTCCGATGCCAAGGTCTCCGATAATTGCATTACTATTCCCGCCAAAAATTCGATTGGAGTGTCTTGTTACAAATTCGTACACTTCTTTTGTCACAAGTTATTCAGGCCTTTTGTTCTACGCGAATAACTTTCATCAATATTCTGTTACTCTTTCCTGTATAATTTTCCTTTGTTTATGTCGCTTGTAATAGTTCTTCAACGCGGATTTTATTCATTCGGATCAACTGTATAACTATTTGAACCTTCTAACTGTTTTTACCGTCTCTATCGATCGCTTTACGTCGCTTTACGTCGCTTTACATCGTCTCTAATTTGGCAGTTGACCCAGATCTCGTGCGACGTTTGTAAGTGTCTTTAGTTTTCCTTTATTTTTGTTTTCTCGTTTGTTAATTTCTTTACCTTGAATTGTGACAACTATAACTTGTAATCCATTTCTTGCAACCGGTTACATATTTATTACTTAACTTCGTTTCGTTTTGCTATTTTGGATGTGAAGTTGGACATGTAACGAGCATTTTTGGTTACAACTCTGATGTAAAACCCTATCAATTGCAACTTACTTAAGAGTACAAGGCTAGAAAAGGCCGTTGGCCATCGAGAAGTGGTCACATTATTCTGTAGGGCCACCAGAAAAACTATGAACGACAACCTCAAAGCTAACCTGGAGCATTCGCCGGACCAAGTCGTTCTCTATGTCGGCTCCAATAACCTTAAACATAACAACTGTTGCAAGATGATTCATCCAACGCCACCTCCGCTATATCTAAGCTTCTACAGGGGATGAATTCAATAGAGCAGTGAAAGATGCGAATAAACATCTAAAGATTTACTGCCGTCAGAATGGATGGAAACTTATCCAGCATCTAAAGATCACAGAGAATGGCCTAAACAAGGGAGGACTGCATCTTAGCTGTAAAGGTAATCAAAACATTTTTTTAACAACTTTAACGTGCTCTCCGCAGATTTCCTGCGTGCTCAGTGTACTAAATCCAACAGTGAATCCCGTATAGTGAATGAAGCGGTAGAGAGGGTCCAACTTAGGTTTGGCAGGATGCAGGATGAGGCTTGAAATCGTGCGGGATGTGGGATAGGAGATTCTTTAAAGGCGAGATGCGGGATGAAGATAGCAAGGCGAGGCCGGGACAATCTCCGATTCGAAGTCGGGATAGGGGTTGGGACGGGTATAGGTGAGCTCCTAAAAAGTATTTCTTTGCTTCAGAAACGGGATTAATTAATGCTCCCGTGTAAATTGGGGTTGACCGGCCTAAATGATTCCGTAGTACGCCCAGTTTTCTCTGTATTGGCTGCAAATTTTTACACGAAACTCCATGGTATATTCGGTTTTCTCGCCCTCGCCATAATTTTTCTCTCTCGAGCACGTCTGAGTGAACCCCTCCTTCTGTATGGTATTATCGGTTTTTTGAGGATTCCTCTTAGCATTGGTTGTTGCTGTACTAAATGCGACTTGCTCATAAGGATTTTTTATAAGGTTTGGGGATTTGGATCTGTTAAATAGTATTGTCGGTCAGCTCAGGAAAGGGCTTGAACTCTATTACAAATGATGTAATAAAGTATAAAGTAAAGCAGTATTTAATATTTCTGTTATTAAAATACGATGGAAACTACAATTGATAGGATTTGCATACGATAAGAAAAGCGCAAATGAAGTCATGTGGAAAGACAAGGAATATAAGCACATCTCAAGCGCGTTATCAAACAACATCTACAGCGATACAAAATGGTGAACCCGGAACTAGTAGTTACTAGTTCCGGGTTCACCATTGCTTGTTCACCATTCCACGTTCATACTGCGCTCTATATATAGAGGAGATAGAGCGCAGTATATACGTGGATGATTTAATTAGTGGCGGGGAGACAACAAAACAAGCGTTAGAAATCATGATCACAGCCACAACAAAGGACTTTCAACTTTCGACTTTCAAACTGCACAAATGGCATTCCAACAATCGGGAGTTAGAAGTTGAAACTGCGACTTCAGACGAAGAAAGTCAGAGTTACGCCAAACAGCAACAGGGAACCAGAAAGTGTGAATCAAGTCAGCTTTCCGACTTCAACTGCTGAGCCGACAAAAAGGGGCATCCTGGGAAAAGTCGCAAAAATCTGCGACCACTCGGTCTAGCTTCACCCGTGACCCTCTCTGGAAAAATGCTCTACAGAGATACCTGTGATACCAAGATCTCGTGGGATAGCCCTCTACCAAGTGACTTACAAGCCAAATGAAAGAAATGGGAACAAGGGCTTCCAGAGCACGTAAACGCGCCAAGAAACGTCATGAAGCATGAAGATCTTATCAATCGACTTACACACATTCGGAGACGCAAGCGGGAAAGGAGTTTCAGCCGCGGTTCATGCAGTAGTGGAGTAACCATCAGGCACGAATCAAGATCTTGTGACAACAAAGTCGCGGCTCGCGAAGAAAGGACTCACAATTCCCCGTTCAGAACTAGTGGACATATGGCTGCAAACCTAGTACAAAACGTCAAAGAAGTCCTGAAGGGTTTTCCCCGTAAGAAATATTTATGGTTGGCTGGACGGCACAATAGCACTGCACTGGATCCGTAGAAACGGCGAATACAAGCAGTTCGTGGGAAATCAAGTGAGGAAGATCCAGGAAAAACGAATCAACTGGAGGCATGTACCAACAGAAGAGAATCCAGCGGACGTGGGGAGTCGGGGAGGAGATGTTAGCAGATTGACAGCTCTTTTGTGGCAAGGACCAAGCCGGTTAGCAGAACCACAGGACTGACCGCCGGACCTTGTAACGACATCCACTCAAGAATCAAAAGCGGAAGAAGTAAAACAAACGCGCGAGTTGTTTGCTCTAGCGGTACAGAAAACAGGGAACAACGACGCCTTCGATGAGCTGCTTGAGAAGCACGAGCTGTGGCGTGTGTTGCGAGTGGGTGGCTGGATCGAGAGATTCCTCCACAACATAAGAACCGCCCAGAAACAGAGAGTCGTTGGTCCACTTACAACTGAAGAAATAAAAAATAAGACAACGTTCTGGATCAAGTGAGCTCAACAGCAAGCAAATTCGAGCGGGAAATTTGAAGACCGTTTACAGTTGAATGTGCAAGGAAATCAAGAGGGATTGTTAGAGTGTAGAGGAAGAATTCAAGGCCATTACCCCATCATTCTTCTAGACTCCTCGCCCTTCACTCGCATGTTAACCGATCACATATCGACACACTGCACAGAGGAGTGGCCCTTACAATGACCAAAGTATAACAGCTATACTGGGTACCGTGTTTAGGGGCACTCGTAAAACAAGTTCTCAGAGCGTGTTCAGGCTGCAAGCGTTTTCAGGGTATGGCACTGGCAACACCGCCTCCTGGATTCCTACCAACTGACCGTACAGAGGGGAGCACCCCATTTGAGTTCGCAACTCAACCGCAAAGCCCCGACATTCAGGCCCAGGAGGGATGTAGCGGTAGCCGCTCGCTATTACATTCAAGACGCGAACATCGATGCTGATTAGAGATATTTAGGAACACTGAACTGATATACTGGACTAACTTTCCGTTTCGTTCATTGAATTTCAAATTTTATCGA